TTATCACTCCTACCATCAAATCTATTAGTGATGGATGTCCATCTATCATCCACAACAGTAATGTTTGGATTTTTTCCAATATACCACTCAAAAACTAAAAATTCGTAAAATACCACTCGTTCTACATGCATGCCACCATTTCACAAGGACCGCATCCTAGGGCTGAACAAACACACCCGCAAACTGACCCACCCGACTCAACCCACCCGTATTTATCGCTAAAACTAAGGTTTTGGTTTGGGTGAGGGTTTTCTTTTGTACAACCCGCCTCTTTTGGATTGAATTTGGATTTTGGATTACACAACCCGTAGAACTCGACCCAATCCGTGTTCCAACTATTGGTATGAGTTTGTATCCAAAAAATATGTATGTCGTATATAGTCATACTTATGAAAAATTAAAATATTGTGCCATATTTTTCTCTCATGGTCTCCCTAATCTAATGCATTCTTCGGATTAAAATTTAGACATAGATTTAACATAGCTATGATTCACGTAATTCATTTTTCTTGTGTACAATTTTAAAAGAATAACATACTATGGATGCGCTCGTTTGTCATATTTTTAGCCTATTTCAACAAATATCGTGAAAAAAACTAGATATATGTTGAAGTAAATCATATTTTATTAAAATTTAAACAACATTTGTGAGCTTTGATACCTTTCACATCGGTTTATTCGTTTGAAATTTTATTTAATTATAAATATTTTTATGTTGTAGAATAATTACATATTTTGCGTTGGGTTGGATTTTTACTTAAAAATATCGCCAACCCGACTCAACCAAATTAGAAACAAACCATAGGGTTTTAATTTTTTTTTTGGGTGGGTTTGGGTTTAATATTTCCCAAACCGTAGTGCAAGGATCGGTTGATTAAAATGGTTAAACCCGGACCACCCGACCCATGTACACCCCTACCGCATCCCCCATGGCGGTTTACCAAAGGACCGCAGGGGGGTGCGCCGATTTTCATTTTGTGAAATAACCGCAGGGGGTAGCTGCGGTTCTATGCCTGACCTAGACAGAAGCGCAGGACCCCCCAACGGTTCTCTGGCTAACCTAGACAGAACCGCCACAACCCCTGGTGGTCCGGTTTGTCGACATATAACTGTTGGGGGGTCATTGTTGTTTACGTGGTGTCCCTATCCCCCGATAGCCAACATGTTGACATGCGGGGGGTTGACAAACGCGGGGTTTGCATGGACCATCGGGATGCATGGCGGTTTTCAAGCCACATTTTTCCTATAAAAGGCAGCACCACCCCAACTCTTCACTACTTCCTCTCCTTCTTCCTCTAATTTATGTTCTTATCCCAACTATGTTATTGCAGATGGCCTGGCGAAAATTCACACTTTTGATACAGTGGAATGGTTACACGGAAGATACTGGAAAGGGGGAACGTTACATAGGTGGTAATTTTTATAAAGTGAAGGTCAGTACGCGACCGAACCTTGAAAAGCTCCGTCATATGTGTACTATGGTTACTTACATGGAGGGCACAAGGAGAGTTGATCGTATAGTGTATCGGTATCCAAATAGAGAAGGTGGGTCGTTGTGGAATGAGGAATTTCTCTTAACCACTGAGGATGCTCAATTTTCTGAATGTCAATAACTTTCCAAAGTAGAGATGTTTGTTTACATCATGGAGGTGGAAGGCGGTGGAGGTCATCCTGGAGGTGGCCAAACATCTGGTATTCAAGATGGTGGTGGAGTATATGAAGAAGGAGGTGGAGGTCATCATCGTCAATCCTTCCCATCATATCAAGAAGAAGCCCAACGGTCCCATGAGTACCAACAAGGAGGTGGAAGCCACATCATCAACCACTCTCATCATACGAACAAGAATCACAACGGTACCATGACAACCAACAAGAAGGCTACCAGTACCAACCCGAGTACAACTTCCATGCAGGCAGCAGTACTTATCACAACTACACCATTACGTAGCTGAAGATAGTGCCTTTCATGATCTAGAAGAGATTGAAGATGTGCCACCAGATCTAGATAGTGATTGTGAAGATGAAGAAGAGGAAGGCAATGTTAGGGCAGATAGCTTCGAACCTCTTGAAGGTGCTAATGATTCAGACCTAGATTCCGACCCGGATGAAGTAGAGGTGTCCCATGACCGTGTTCCTATGGCATACTATATGAACATTCCAAAAAATTGGTATGTTAATGCCAACATGGAGCAGCCAGAGTTGCCAATATGGGGTCCAACTATTGGGTTTAAGACGGGCCAACAATTTGGTACAAATAAGGAGGTTTGGAACGCTGCCTATGTTTGGCCCGGCTTTTAGAAGTGCTTTTCGGCTTCAAAAGCTTAAGCAGGGCCAAACACCTCTAAAAGCTCGGCTTTTGAAAAGCCGAAAAACGCTTTTGTATAACATAAAAGCAGAAGCTCCGATTTGGAGCTTTTGCGAAAAGCTGTTTTGAAAATACAAGATTATCCTTACCATATTTTAATTTTATTTCAGAAAATATAATTTTTCTTCATTTATATCATTTTAAAAATAAAATAAATTATAAAATAATATTATTTAATATAAAAGAAATCTAACAAGATCCATTTTTACTACTTTTTATTATTTATAATTTTTATTCATATTTTATATTATAAGACCTTTATAGTCATTTTACACAACCGCTCATATTAAAAAGCACTTCTAATAGTTTTACAGCCAAACACTGAACTTCTTTTTTTGAAAAGTACTTATCTAAAAGCTACAGCAGGGCCAAACTAAGCTACTGTTGACACAGAGCAATAAATAGGGTTTCGAATGGTGCACACCACATTAAGACCCAAGCAGAATCATAGTTAGATGCTAGATAATCATGAGGGATGCAAGGCTAGGGTACGGGCTATCAAAAGCAAGAAAGTCGGGCGTTGGATCATCACCCGTGCAGAGCGGATGCGAACATGGTCATCTTTCCTATAGCCTATGCCATTGTTGAGGGAGAGAGTACTGAAACCTGGGATGGTTCTTCCAACAAATTCACCTCCACGTCACCAAGAGGACTGGGCCTCACAATCATTTCTGATCGCCATGCCAGGATCAGAGCTGCCATCCTAGACTTGGATCCAACGTGGGGGGTGGTTCCTGAGATGGTGCATGTGACACTTCAAGAGCAATTGGAACCATATTTTCAAGCAGAGGAAGCTTGCTGATAATCTGTGGTGAACTGGTAAGCTTGCTATTTCACAGTCAAGTTATGTTGGTCTCGGTTCATTGTACTCAAATGTTAACAGACGCTTATATATGCCCCACAGATATTGCCTACCAAGAGAAGAAATTCATGGAGAAGTTGCAGGAGAACCGTGAGCTATACCCTGAAGGTGCGAAGTGGCTTGATCAACATGACCTATCCATGTGGATTTTTCATAAGTATGGAGGTACCATGTGGGGTATTGCCACAACGAACTCAAGTGAGAGTATCAACTCCATCTAAAAGGTTATTCTTGCACTGCCAATCTTTGTCATTGTTGAGATGACATTCTAGAGAACGAACAGATAGTTCCTCAATAGACTCCATTGGCCAAGGTAAAGGAGGCACAGGGTAAGTTCCACTCCGATAATGCCCTAGAAATCATGGACAGATATAAACACAACATTAGTTGGCATAGGGTCATCACCATGAACCGAGATGCTGGAGACTATACAGTTGAGACTGGCCATTGGGAGGCTGACAGACACGTGTGTGTGTGTGGGGGGGGGGGGGGGGCATTGTCATGAAGTCAAGGTGAATTTAAGGACAAAACACGGGGAGTGGTCCTACCAGAAATATCAGTGGAGAAGATTACATTGTTCTCATGCCATGACCGCAATTAAGTCCGGGAGCAAAGACCCACTCCACTTCGTGAGTCCTTTCTTCAATATCGACTCACTCAAGAAATCATATGGAAAGAGTTTCCATTCATTGTCAGACGAAACTTACTGGACAGTGTATGAAGGAAAGGTGATCACCCCACCGTTCGGACAGAGGCATGAAACGGGATGACCAAGGGTAAAAAGGATTTCCAACGATATGGATTAATCTGGAAGACCACCGCGAGAGCCAAGGCATGTTCCATATGCAAGTATTGATAAACGAACTTGTACTGGACCAATCGGCCCTCAAAATCAAGGGCCTGACGTTGCAAATCTATATAACGGCATATAGATTGCTTGATCATTGCATTTTAGTTGGTGTGCTCTTTGTTGGGTTTCTCAACTAATGTTGTCCAACTTTGTTGGTCATTCAAGTTATATTGCTCGAATTTGTTAGTTTGCTTAAGTTATGTTCTTCGATTTTGTTGGTTTGCTCAAGTGTTGTTGATCGATTTTGTTGGTTTGCTCAATAAAGTCTAACTTAAATACCAAATGAAAATAACTTATAGGCAGCGGACCATGGGGGTCAACGATTTTCGCGTTCGAAATGCAAACCGCGCGGGGTGGTCATTGTTTGGCCAGGATCGCTAAGGTAGCGCACGGTCAATCTGATTGCAACAACCCCATGCATTCTGTAGGCGGCGGAAATGAAAACCACAACCCCTACGGTCCTCATTTTAATCACTATGGGAGGATGTGATCCTTGTGAAAGGATGGTGTGGATGGAAATGATTTGTAAATGGTGGTATTTTGGAATTTTGTAGTTTTAGGGGGAAAAATATACGCAATGTTTAAGCTGAAAGATACTGACCGACACATCCAGCCCATGTTAACAGTAAAGGAGGGTATGCGAGCTTCTTGAAACAATAAACCCTCATGAATAATCCCAACTACACTACCGATGATTGATAAACAGTAAATTCATATACAAGTAAATTGTAAAGCCGTTCAGAATTTGTTCTCAGAACCCCAGAAATCAAATGCAAGGAACAACAAATTCATTTCACCACTTGTCTACAAGCGCCTTTTACCTTTCACTGCATGATATGGTAGCATTGCAGTAAAACAACACACGCACCTCAACCAGAATATCTACAGTGAGACAACACTACCACCATCTGGTTGCTTTCCGCTCAGATGCGGCTCGAGTCTCTCCCGAAAATGAATCTTCTAGTCCAATCTGATACCACCAACATTCTCGTGCGCCAGCTAACTTGCTTGCTGAATGACATAACAAATGTGTAATCTGGGTTTAGAAGCTGTGGATATATATCAATAACCTCAGAAAAGCAAAAGACTTGAGACTGTAGGTTTGTAGTTACCTGGCATAGACAGAATACCAAAGCCACTGGGTGCTGTGACCCATGGAAACCCAGTCTCCTGGAAGTTCAGCAGCAGCCTGCTCCCCTCCCAAAGGAGCAAACTGCCCAAAGTGCTTGTACCTTGCATTGAGAAAAGATTCCCAGCAGATTGATGTTAAAACAGGCACACACACAAAAAAACGTAGAATGGAACAAGAGCAAACCCACCAAAACAACCTATTTGTCACCTCTAGTTTTTCACGCGCGCCACACCAGAAGTTTGAAGTACAGGGGGATTTACCGGAAGGGAGTAAAGAAATGTCGGTTGCCTCCAGGTCCAGCAAAGCGTCGAGGGCCTTCAGGATGTTCCTTGCACTGGTTTTTCCTGTTGAAGCACTTCGCGAGATATTTGCCTTGTTGACCAGCAACCTAAGAGACGTAGGGAGAATGTACGTTGGTGCAAATGTAAGTATAGTTTCATTTAGAAGGTTGATGGATGATAGAAGGCAAGGAGTACCTACCTGAGCTGTGGCAGGAAGGCTAGTGGTCTGTGAATCCACGAGATGGATAGCTTTCTTGAACCCCTCGATGTCGACTTCCTTTTTGTCTTCGCTCATTGCATCTTTCAACAAATCTGTCAGATCTCCGAGATGCTGGTTGTTTAGATAGGTTTCCACCTGAGGATACCTTGCGATAATATCATCTACCACAGCCCGGAACTCTTCCATGGTCAAGGTGCCTGAGTTGTCTGTATCTGCAGCCTCAAATATGGCCACGATATCGTCCTGAATATGTCACAAAATGTTACAGTTACTACTTGTATAGCTACATTCTGAATTGTGGTTACAATACAAGCTGATACAACTGCCATTATTATCCACATTTGGAAAATGGAAAGACAATCCATGTGCAGAGTACCCAAAAATATGATGTTTTTCATTTTCATTCATAAATAAGATTAACAGGGTATCTGCACTTCCAGCAGAGGAACGCCTGGTTGGGAAGCTCCAGTAAACAACTATATTCCCAAAACAAAAGCATTCACCCACAGGTACTTATAGAATTTCCTTTTGGCATAACCAAGAAAAACAGATGCCACATTATTGAAGTCACACGACCAAAGAATGTGCAAATAAGCCCTGGCTGTAATTGGCTAGCAAATAGTAGAACACATTGATATCCATTCTCCCCCTTGTTTCCTTCATGCAACAAAAAGGAGAAGGGAAGTGTAATGGAGATGAAAGGACAAAATGCCGTACTCGAGAAGTAGTGTGGTGTTTGAATGTTGATGATAGAAAATGCACCACCTTCCAAGAACGAAAAAATTACATCACACGGACTAAAGAATGACATACCATGATTTTACGCTGATCAATTGTCGCACAATCACCAAGTGCATAAACGTTTTCAGTTTCTTTTACACGGAGCCATTCATTAGTGGCAAGAATACGCCTTTTGCCCTGCGCATAGATGAAACTTTCTAAGTAACCAACCAGCCACATCCAACTTCTTGGCAATTTTCTTAGAATACTTCCAAAGGGTATCACATGCAAGTTGGAACATGCAGTTCAAATTGTCTAGAAGTACCCTGATGGTGCAACAAATACCTGGCCAATTTGCTCCATGAAGTCTTTTACAACTGGACGAGTGCTTATGCCAGTAGACCACAAAACCAAACCATGAGGGATAGAACACAGCTCTCCTGTGGGTTTCATCTTCATGGTAATTTCTTTGTCAGAAACACTCACAACTCGACATCCTGTCTGGACTTCAATTCCATCCCTTCCGAACTTTTGTTCAGCAAATGAACTTATGCGCTCATCAAACCTACAAGAATAGGAAGTCACTCATTTTAAAGACAGCCACATTAGCTCGGACTGAAAGATCATTAGAGCAGTTTGTACAAGAAAATTAAAACAAGCAATTCTACGAACAAGTAACACAAATTTTTGTCTTAGCATACAGCACTCAACAGGAAGAAGAAGAAAAACTTAGATTCTGAAATGAGGGAATGCAAGCAAGCTTAGTGCATCGACATCATGTATGAGCCAAGTTAGTAGGGAAAGTCTGTTCCATGGTTCTTACGTATTCAAGATATGATCACCCGATTGAACTACACTGATTTTCACAAGATCTTTCACTGTTGGGTAGATATTGACGAGGTCTTCAATGAGAAAGTCATGCAGCTCAGCAGCAAACTCTACACCAGTTGGGCCACCACCAACGATTACAAAATGTAGGTTAGTTCTTCGCTCTTCTTCAGTTAGATCAGGAAGGACAGCCTTTTCAAAACAGTCAATCACAGTCCTGCGAAGCCTTTGAGCATCTTCTAAATCCTGAATGAAAAAATTCATAGTTTCTCTCATCAACATACAGTTGCAGACTTGCAGCTCGAGAAACTTCTAGCATCAGCAAAAACAGATATTTCTCTATCACATCTCCAGCATAACTGGAAATACCTTGAGAAAATGACAGTTCTCCTTGACACCAGGTGTGTTGAAAGTATTTACTTGTGCTCCAACTGCAACAACCAAGTAGTCATATTCCAGAGAGAACTCCTCGCTGCCCACGGTGTTGTTGTCAAAATTAGCTTTGCAGAAAATTTTGTTGTTTGCAGCATCTATCTTTAGGCAATCTGCCTCCCAGAACTGAATTTCTCCGTCTCTCTGTTAGTAAGAAGATGAAACATATAAGGGCAGAAAAATGACAAGGTTGAATACCAAGCAATCACAAATTACACTATGCATAAAATCTATAAATCAACCATCGTTCCACTTATGTCTTCCCATACATATGCACATAGCTACAGATGCTTCTGCACAAACAAATATCGTCCAACTCTAAAATTAAAGAGATTGCCACTGAAGTTCTATAATAAACACAGCACCAGTTACAGAACTAGCTCAATTCATCTTAACCTACCTTCTTTATGATGTTTCGAACAGGCTCCACAATGCTTCGTGCTTCAACAGTTCCACATGTGACACTAGGCAACAGAGGGGTGAAAGCAAAATAATTCCGAGGCGAAACCACCTGGACGTCGTACATAGAAGCATCCAGGTCTTTGAGAAAGCTTGTACCAGCCCATCCTGTCCCAAGAACCACCACTTTCTTCTTCTGGCCATCATTTTTATTGACAATGGAAGCAGGTACTTCATCAGGCTGTGATCGTGAGTCTGAATAAGCCACCAAGCCCCCACTACTGCTCCATTGCACAACAGAGAGTTCATGTTATAAGAGATTATAAGGAGTCAAACATCACAAAAGTATGAAACAGTTTAGGTATAGAGTCTGCATAAAAAGCATAGGTTAAAAAAGGAAAGAATCAGGGATCCCAACAGTTGGTCCATTTCCACTGTACCTATTGCCAGAAAGTAGCATAACTTAATCCTTGACAGCTTAAGGTAAGCTAGTCGGAAACAGAACACCATGTCTGTTAAATTCAGCTGCAAGTTACTGCTTGCATGACATACCAAGCTCTTATAAAACTACTAGCAGGTAAATATGAACCGGTACTCAATTCTAAGAACACATTCCACTCCTACCATCCACCAGAAAAGACTTGATCTTTCTGTAACATCTTATTTTCGAGAGCCCCAAAAATTTGCAGTTCACGAGCGAATACTATCTCATATCAAACAAAAAAGTCAAAGTCGACGATGGGCATGTGATCAATTTGTTTGGCAAGCAAGTAGGAACCCAGCAGCTCATTTTTTCCCCCAAAAGCAAAATTACTGTACATTCCCAGCCCTTCGTTCCCAGGAATCCAGGAGAAGGCAAAAGTAGCGAGGATCTATCTTCTGCCCCCTAAAACCCATAAAAGGGTGACCACAGTGAAAAGGCTCCCAACCCACATTTCCATTAAAAGGGATAATATTAACAATATGGAAAGACATGGCCCAGCTAAGTTCTGATCAATCGTGTACACTCCCAAAAACAAGGAAAGAGAGCAAAAGATCACCCAAAACAGAAAACAACCCAGATCACTTTCCAATTTTGGATCACTATCGAACCAGGAAAGAGGAAACAAGTGAAAATGGGAAATGATCACAAAGAAGGACCTGACGGTTAAGAGGAGCAGCAGCTTGGAAGAAGTAGAAGCAGGGGAGCCATTGAAGAGGTCGCGGGCAGCTCTGCCGAAGAACGACATGATGGAAAAAAGTCCTTCCAGGAGAAAAGGAAGGCGATACAAAGCTTTCTGCCTTCTTTCTTTAAGACCTGAGGGCTGAGGCCTGGAATCTCGTTTCTAGAGAAGTCAGCTAGACTACTGAACGTCACCACCACGCGCTCGAACTGGGCAGTGTGAACTGTGTGAAAGACTGAGGACTACCAGCAAAGAGAGGGCAATAATGCGTGGCCTGAATTGATGTGGACGGAGCGGGGTACACGGAGAATGATTGAACCAATATATTTCCTTTCTTTTACGGTCGTTTGCTTCACACTATGTTTTTTTAGAGCGGAAAACATGGGGAAGGAAAGAATAGGAAGGAAAGTGAAATTTTCGATAAACTTTTCCCTGTTTTTAAAGGTGAGCACAGTAATCGGGTGAAGGAAAAGAGGGGAAAGTTTCACTGTGGAACCCTCTCCCCCAAATCGGAGAGAAAACGCTCCACTAACTCATTCTCTTTCATCTTTTTATTTGCCAGGTTAATTAATCGTTCACTTTCCCTTTTTTATTTGCTACCCCTCTCCTCGCTCCTTGCTTTTTCTTCTTCTTCGTTCTCCCTCAAATGCGAACCCAAACTAGAAACAGAGATAGACAAACTGGAAGTCAGCTTGGCAGATTTGCTTCGTCGGAATAGTCTCGGTCGGATTGCAGCTGCCGACTAGGGGAGCGTTGGCGCCGGCGTGAGCACACGGCGGCAGAAGGGGGGGGGGGGGGGTTTAGAAACAGGGAGATTAAAATTGTAGGTCGGAGAATCATAGAGCGACAGATAGTTGGAATCGGGCGAGCGCAATTGGGATCAAATCGGGCCGGGCTGGGCGTTCGGGGTGAAGAATCCGACCTGGCGAACTCTGGGAACTGGGAGTTGATGGCCGAAGAATCGGAGAGCGGCTGAGAGCTGGAAGCCAGCAGCGCCACCATTAACCTACAATTAACCTCACCGACGGCTAACCGGGGGAACGAGAGTCTGCGCTAGTGGGGGATTGGCATTTTTTTCTTTTCTTTTCAAGAATGTTCCTCTGGACAAAAGTGATACATGAGAAAGAGATCCAGCATTCAGTGGGATGGGGAAAATATATTCAATTTGCTTTTGTACTCACACATATTATTATCTCTAACCCAGGCACTAATAACATGTAATAGATTTAATTGAGAGTGTAATAGATTTTAATTGATTTAGCTTGTTTCGGTATTTGTTCATCAATTATGTTTAATGAATCAATTCATTAGGTAACCATATAACTAATATCATTAGATAATTAGTTATCTCAATAATAAAATAAGGTATATATACGTTATGATAATATGTTATCTCAATAATATCTTATATAATTATATTATAAATGATGTTATCAAGTAGGGATGTCAATTGAACTCGGACACAAGTGCGATCTGCATATATTTATGTACACTTAAGTTTAGATGTTATGTTGACGAATCAATAAAATAGTGAACAAAATTTTAGTAATGGATTGACAAGTTTTTTCAAGCGATCAATTTTAGATTTGTAATGGTGAACAAATTAGCAAGTATTAATAACAAATTTAATTCATAATCGATAATTAATTGAAATAATAAAACACACAATTATATTATTTTAGTATTACATTACACAATACAACATACTTATCATATTTCTCAATATACTTTTTTTCATCTCAATTTTTCTTTTTCTTTACATTTACATAACCAATAAAATAATATATTCATCACACTTCTCAATACACACTTTCTTTCCCACTTTCCTCCATAAAACAACATTTTCTTTTCAATTTCCTTCACCTCCAAATCTCCCCTCCCCTCCTAATTTTCCTTCACCTCCCCTCCTTTTCCTCCTTTCCTTCGGAAACATAGTGTCATGGATTTGAAAAATGAGGGTTTTGGTAAAATCTGGGTTTTGGAAAACCATGGATATATGATGGATTTGGTGACATTATGGATTTGAACAAGTCTATTGTTTGCTTGATGGATTTGATTATGGATTTTGTTTGATTAGATTTGTGGATATTAAATACAAATTACCTAGTTACCCTTATTTAATTATATTTCTATATTATAATCCAAATCTTTCATTTAAAACTAATCCAAAACATAGAAAGAAATTTTACCACTTTGTGGATTAACAATTCAACTACAAATATAGAAATGTATTACAATTTGGCACTCATTAACAAGTCATCTAATAATGTACGCAATATTATGTATCAATTGCTCGCTTTATTGCTACAACTCATCATCTTCTTGCTAACTCACCGATGTGGAATCCGACACGACAATTAATCAAATAATAATGTACAAGATGAGCATAAAGTGTTTCTAGGTGAATCTAATATACATTCATATTTAAATAAAATACGATATTACAAAATGAAATGATAAATTCTCATATTTATAAAATACGAATTATAAAAGTTTACAGTTGCATGACCATTGAATTAAAGTAGGACAAATTTGTAATTAAAGAAATAATTAAGGATAGAAAGGTAATTTACCATCATGGATTTTAATCCATCACCCAAATCCCACCTCAAGAGGTGGAACTTCCAAGTCCGTGGGGTCCACGGATTTGGAACCCCAAAAGAGGTGGGCCCCACAAATTCCATATCCCTAATTCCCTAAGGCAAACGATGGATTTCGGTTCAAGTCCATGATGAATATATTTCTATGACCAAATCCATCACCAAAACCCTTAAGCAAACGACCCCTTAAGCATGTTACTTAAGGGATGTACCCTCCCGGACTCAGACTCGGAGTGCGAATTGAGACCCGAGCCGGCCAGCCGTCCAGCGTCCACCGACGACTGGTTAATTTCAAGAGCTTGTTGGATGTTAAAATGAGAGTTTTGAGTTTTTTTTTTAATTTGTTGTGTTATGGATTTAAAAGAGTGTGTTGTAGTCTTGTAGATTTAGTTAATTTTTTATCATGAATTTAAAAAAATTTATACCATCAGTCTCAAATTTTTGGGATAAATTGCAAGTTTGGTCAAAGAAATTACTAAACAATTTAACATTTGTCATTAAAAATATTTTATTCCATTCGTGGTCACTAAATTTAGTTCAATAGTTTAAGTTTGGTCACTATCTGTTACCTTTCGCCAGTCTCTATTAACAACATCATATTTTTGCTGACGTGGCTAACAAATATGCTGAGTGTCCCAATTTTAACCAAAAACAAACCGACTTGCCACTTCATACCCATTGCATGACCCAACCAAACTCCTGACCCGACCCCATCTTCTTGACCCTTCCTCTCCCCGAGTTCCCCTTCGTCATCTTTCTTCACCGCAAGCCAAGGACTCCAGCCTGGAGTTTGTTCGTCGACCAATAACTTTGCAGAGGCCTTTCCAAATCCCCACTCGCCCTCTCCTTAAACCCTCAACCACTGCTACCATGCCATTGTGATACCCCTCGCCTTATTATTCCCCGAGTCGCCGAGCTGCTCCGCCAGTAGGGCTTAGCCCGCTCCGCATCCTGATTCTCCCACATCAACAAGACCGTAATAATCACTCCACCTTTCCCAATTCTCCTTCCTCTTAAGAAGTTCTAGGTTTATGGTAGAAATGTAGCTGAGAATGACAGAGGTAGCAAGCTACTACTCTGCTCTTTTTATATCAGCTTTGTAATCAGGTTTACAATTGATTGTCACGTGTTACACTTACTTTGGTTGTGTTTAAACACTAACAATAATCTTTAACAACTAATCTACTTGTAAACAAAATGGTGTGTTGCACCACTATCAGCCTAGCCTTCTCTTTATGAAACGCCTTGCATACAGAAACGTTTCTTCTTCACTTGGAATGCATTCGAACCTTCTTCTCCTACAATCCTTGCTCAGTTCGGATTCTCATGAGTTCATAACTCTGTCACCCTCCCTCAAGTTGTGGATGGCAGTATGACTCCCAACTTGATTAGCAAATCCTTGAGGTGTGCCTGCTCCAATCCCTTAGTGAAGATATTTGCAAGCTGATTCACTGTATTCACATGTTGCAATCTGATCAACCCAGTTTTAATCCTTTCTCTTGTCACATGTAAGTCAATTTCTATGTGTTAGGTTCTTTCGTGGAAAATGGGATTCTCAGCAATGTGTATGGCTAACCTATTATCACAGAAGATTGTTGGAAGAGGAACCTTGACACTTAGTACTTCCAACAACCCTTTCAACCATTGAACCTCACATACTCTCATTGCCAATGCCATGTATTATGCTTTTGATGAAGATCTTGATACAATGGTTTGCTTCTTGGTCTTCCAGGTAAGCAATGACCTTCCTAAGAAAGTACAGTATCCAGTAGTTGATCTTCTTGTGTGTGGACAACTTGCCTAGTTTGAGTCGCAGAACCCTATCAATTTAAGTTCTGATCTACTATCAAAGTGAATCCCTTGCCTTGATCCATTCTTCAAGTATCTTAGAACTCTATGAGCTGCTTGTAGGTTCTCCTCATGAGGTTTCTTATGAAACTGGCACAATTGCTGGACAGTAAAGGCCGAATCTGGTCTTTTAATGGTGACATAGTGCAGTCTTCCCACCAATCTTTTATACTGCTCAGAATCAGATAGTGGAGTTCCCTAAGTTGCAGACAGCTTCACATTGGGGTCAAATTGGGGTTTGGCACCCTTTAGACTCCAGATAACCTGTTTCCTTTAGCAATTCAAGACAATACTTTCTTTGGTAGACACTTATCCCACTTGATGTCCTGTTAATTTCCGATCCCAGAAAATACTTCAAAGGGCCAAGTAGTTTCATCTTAAACTCTTGACTTAGAACCTTCTTAACCTGTTCCATGTCCTTCAATGCATCTCCTCTTATTATGATGTCATCCACATATATGAGTAACACCACAATTCTGCCACGAATCCACTTAGTAAACAAGGAATAGTTAGAGGCAGATTGACTAAACCCATTCTTCAGAAGAAAACTACTTAGCCTGGCAAATCATTGCCTGTATGCTTGTTTCAAGCCATACATTGATTTTTTCAGTCTGCAGACTATCTTCTGTGATCCATTTTGTTCCAAATCCAATCCTGGTGGCGACTGCATATAAACTGTAACATCCTGTTACGGCAAAACCCATATTTCGATCGCTAGAAAATTTCACGATTTAAAATCGAGCATTTCGACACTATTTCGACGAAAATCGGATTATCGATCGATCGGATAAGTATACGTATTAATTATATAAAATATATATATATTAATTAAGCGGCCGGGCATATATATTAACTTTCCCCACCCACCCCGTCCATTATCATCTTCTTCGGTTCTATTTTCTGGACCGAGAGCAGAAGCTCTTCAGGGGACGCGAGGAATTAAATTGCAAAGCTCAATTCTTGAGCTACAGTGATCCAAAAATCTCGTAAGTAATGGCTAATTCATCTATACATCGTGATTTATCAATTTAGAGCTTTAAAACGAGTTTTTGGTTCAGGAATTTCTTGAATTCCCGATAAGCTAAATTAGGGTTTCGGAGTATCCGGAAACCGGATTGAGCCCAAATTTCATATACGAGCTTCCTGCAGCGATGTAATCAATCCTCTAGTTCTAATCCCTGAATTTTGGCAATTATTTAGGCCGAGGTCCAAACCGCTGAATTTAGCTCCGGCCAGGGTTTGATGTGTTATCAAGAATTTGACCCGGAGCCTAGAACTAATATTGACGGGGATATTAGGACTGTCTCGGATTTTAATTCGGGGTTCCTTCGTGAAATTGACGTTTTAGTACGGGGAAGCTTAAACTAGTGTTTGAACGACCAGAACTGGTGAGGGATCAGCACGGCATAGCGGGTTTGTCGTATCACGATAATTATTTTGATGCTTAGAATTTATCTAGGTGAACTAGAATGGCATGATTAGGGGTGTATGAACTTTTGTGCTATATGTTGAACCCTGGATTGTTGTATGATATTATTGACTTGCCCTAATCGATATAAACCTTGTTTATGCTGATGATTGTGTATATGTTGCAAATTGTGGGCTTGACTGTTAATATGCTTTACGATGGTTCGAGAAGGTGATTAGGTATGATTTTTCATGATCGTTGTATTTGGATGCAAAAGTGGGAAAATATATATTCCCTGGTGATATTATGATTTTTAAGGAGGATGACTTGCACGAGGGTTTATCCCGAGGAAGTGCAATTATACGACTCCTGATTTACCTATGTTGAGCCAATTATGGCCAGGTCAAGTACATGTGCAAGTAATGAATTATGATTAAGCAAGATGAGATATGAATCATGTATAAGGATACCAAATATGAGTGTTGTGGTCTCACGGTCAACTACATAGTAATTAGGGCTCCCTATGCTATTACTCTATTATGATATGTATGATAGTCACACCTCTCATGTGGTGGTGACTGAAGAATTCTTACGAGATATGACCACACCCAGAGCGGTGTTGGGGTATGACTACACCCATAGTGGTGTGGGGTATGTATGACCACATCCGACGGGATGTTGGGGTATGTATGACTACATCCGACGGGATGTTGGGTATGTTTCCCGAGAGAGTTATTAGCATGGGAGTAGCCAGGCGCCTATGAGTAAAACATAATAAGATGCATATGCATAAGTCAAGGTGGTTGAGTCTTTTGCCTATTGGGATGTCGCAGGGCTGAGATCTGATCCTAGTACTTTGGCTTGTTTGCTAGATGTATGGTAGTGGTATGCTATGTTATGAACTCACGATGCTATGATTATCTCACTCAGCTATGAGCTGACCCTCTTTTATTCTTCTTCTCTGCTTATGACATGTGTAAGCAGATCATCAGCAGCAATAGATAGGTGTATAGGTGGGAGCTGAGCAAGAGTTGAAGACAAGATGAGGTATGGTCTTCAACCATTCTGTGATTGGACTACTACTCGGGATTTTGGCCAGTGATCCACACCTTTTTGTAAAAATGTTTTGAGAACGTTTTTCATGTGCATACTAGCTTCTGATGTAGTGTGAGATATCCACAGGTGTGGAAAGTTGATGATATGTGTATATGTTGTGTAACTGTGTAAGTTGTGACGATTATAGTATGTATAAGTATTGTATGCAGTTGTGGAGTATGAAAAGTGTGACTATGGCTAAGAAAAGCCAATGCATATGGTTGTGAGTATATATGTTTGTGATGAATTATTTTCCAGGATAAGTTGCAAGAACTGTTAGCCCATTACGCAAGTAATTCATGTCGAAATTTTATTTGGGTAAATTTTGATAATTAATGTAACACCCGAGATAAATTCCGCTGCAATTGTATGAACAATACGATTAGGCAAAACGTATAGGGTAGGGTGTTACAGTTTGGTATCAGAGCCCGGTTCCCTCTTTTTGCTGTTATGGCGTACTATACCCTATGGGAGGTTAAACACTCCTAAGGAGGGGAGTACCCCATAATGACTTAAACTAGGAATTGAGTTTGACATGATTATGCGTATTGGTATATTGGATGAAGCATCATGGTTTTCAAAATTGAGTTTTGAACTTCTATGTTTACAAGTAATTATTTTTGGAAAATTTTGTTTTAACCAAGTGAGAGAGTGGGTGAAGAATGAATTTTGTGTGGATCAATCTAAGGCCAATATTTCCTTGTAGCTCGCATGGAAGTTGTGAAAATGTTCCTACTGACCAGTCGAGAGGAGTGGGGGCGGTTGATGCAAGACCGCCAATATTAGACTATGCAAAGATGAAGAGTTTGGGTGGTAGGGACTTCAAGGGAGATGTGAGTCCAGATGCTGTAGTAGAGTGGTTGAGAGAGATGGAAGATGTGTTTGAATATCTTTATGCAACCCCAGAGGAAAAAGTGCAATATGTTATTTTTCTCCTAAAGGGGTACGCGAGGAGCTGGTGGTCCTCAGTCTCTAGAGTTAATGGTGAACGAGTTCAGTTCACCTGGGAGGAGTTCCTGAAGGCCTTTAAGACAGAGTTTCTTCCCGAAGCTTTTATCAGGGCAAAGAATAATGAATTCGCCAACCTTAAGCAAGAGAATATGACAGTTACTGAGTATACCATCAAGTTTGTTCGACTACTCTACTTTAAAGATGGGTTGGCGGATACTAAGCATAAGAAGAAGATGAGATACTTGCATGGGCTGCGGCTAGGGTTGAAAGAAAAGATCCACAGGGTTGATGAAGAGAGCATGGCCACAATCAAGGAGGCAGCACTTAAGTATGAAGCCTATGAAGTTGAGAGCCGAGAGGAACTGTCATATGCCATGAGATCACCACATCGACCGCTCCATAGGATCGCTCCATCCACTCCCACCACTGTAGCGTGCATCCCCTTCCAAATAGAAGGATGCCAGCTACGCCTTCTTCTCCTCTCTGTTTGGGTGGCTCTTGAACTACCTCTCCACCGTATACAACCACAACCCAACATCTCCATGACCATCAAACTTGGGAAACTCGATAACAGGAGGTTTAGCTCGGAAAACTATTCCATCAGTCATATCATAAGGGTAGTAGTATCCATCATACATTTCCCCGCCCGACCTGAATTGACCGGTTCCACCCCCAAAATATGGCCCAGACTCCGGCCCCATATGCGAGTGGTAGTTCCCCCACTGCGTTCTTCCAAGGACCGACTGACTTCTCCCGACCTGATTCAAGACCCTTGTCCTTGCTTCAGCTCTCGTCCACCTCGGCTCGACTCAACCCCAAGTGTGACCAAGGCCCGGTAGGGTGAGAAAAAGGACCAATATGGCCCCGGCGCGGCCCAGGTCCACCCACCAAAGCTGCTGCCTACGGCTGTCTTGCGTGGGTCCGGTTGACCCGGTTCAATCTGACTCCGGTTCGACCATTTTGCTCCGGCCCGACCCATCTCGACCGGCTCAGGTCGGCTACCCAGCCCAAGTTCGCTCCGGTTGGGCATGGGTCAGTCCACTGGGCCCCGTACCCCGCTGGCCCGAACCCTCTTTCGGCCCATAGAAACCCAACCTGCCTCCTCGCGAGTCCGCATATGGCGCCCAACCATCGTAGCCAGCAGCCTTCCCCTTGCCGCGGCCCTCCATCGCTTCTAGGCCCGTAGGAGTAGGCAACAAGCCCGGCCCACCGTCCTGTTGACTCGATCCGAGGCCCGCACGGTTAGGGTTAGGTAACCCTAATGTGTGGCTCTCGTCGCACCTCCTCCCAAAACCAGCGCAGCCAGCCAGCCTTGCTCCACCTCCACCGCACATCGAGGCGCCTACCCTGCTCCTGCCGACGCCGCGACTGAGCCTCCTATTTTCTAGGCCTTCGCACTGATTGCGGCAGCCCGCGCGAGGCGTCCCGCTTGGGTCTCAGCTTCAGCCTCCATCGTTTCTCCCCTCTGTCTCATCTCGGTTGGGATCACAGCGGGTAAGAAACGTGCCTGCATCTCCGCCTCTATTGGGGGAGGAGAGCCGCGGAATTTAGTGAGGGAGAGAGAGATAGTGTTTGAGAGAGAGAATTAGGTTAGGGAATAATTATTCTATTTCTTGCTTACCCGAAAAACCCCACCCGAACAGAATATATAAGACCGACAAATTCCCTATAACTACCCGAATAATGAATAACATCCTAATTGTATAAATATCACCAAAAACCCTGAAATAACAACCAAATTCCATCAAATAATAATAAACTGTCATCCCGCCCCAAGTACAGAAGACCCTAGGATTTATGTTTCCTACAATCCACCCTCCTTGAGACCAACCCTTCCCTCAAGGTTGGCTTCATTTCGGCTCCTCTTCCTCCTTGGTCGCGTCCGCCTCCTCCTTGGCCAGCTCCTTGCCTTCATCTTCTCAATTACCCACTAGCAGCATCAAATGACCCTTCGCACATTGGTGTCCCACGATGTATCTCTCCTTGCAATTGAAACAAATGCACTTGTAAACAAAGTTGCAGCATGATATTGGGCGAAAAAACTTCATTGAGTCCGCATTCGGGAATTTAGTGATAAGAGAGAGGATAGTACAGTTTACCTCCCTCCACATCATGCCAGAACAGTTTACCTTCCCCCAACTAGCTTCCAGATATCTTGGAAAAATTCAGTAGGGTAACCATCTGGCCCTGGGGCTTTACCCTTCTTCATGCCCTTAACTACTTTCCTTACCTCCTCTACTGTAACCATAGCACATAGCTCCGAGTAGTCCCCCTCTAGATGGAATTGTTGAAGTTGCTTTAGGGTGTCCACTGTTACTCTTTTCAAAGAATGATCCGGAGTTCCCAAAAGTTTGTAATAAAATTTCACAGCCTCCCTTCCCAAGTCGTCCACATCTTCTAGTACTTTGCCTTCCTCAGTCACTAATTGTTGAATAGTATTCCTTGCATGCCTTGTCTTGACCATACTATGAAAAAACTTAGAATTCAAATCACAATTCACCTACTGCTGCCTGGATTTCTAGCAATTAAAAATTTCATCAGCCTTTGCCTTCTTCACTCTTTCATGGATATCATAATATTGTTCTCTATTTAAGGCCTTCAACCTAACCTTAATCTGCCTCAGCTTGTGATACAGTTGTGCCATTGTTGATCCTGCTACTGGGCAAATCCACCCTTCCTTTACAAGACTATCATACTTCTGATGGAATTTCCAGAAGTGAAAATACTTGAAGGGACGAGGTAGTGTCTTTGCCTTAGAGTCAGTAGAGATTAAGAGACCACTGTGATCTGTCAGACCAGGTAAGAGAGTCTTCACTGGACTCCTAGGGTAGTGCTTTATCCACTTTTCAGTAATCAGAACACAATCAAGCCTTTTCGCAATTGGATTATCTGATTGCTTATTAGACCAAGTGAACCATGGACCTTGAGACCTATGATCTAACAATTGCAAATCATAAATCCAGAAGCAAACTGTTGTGCACTCTCCCCAAGGCCACCTGAATTGGAAGACTCGGTATGATCTAAAATAGTGTTGAAATCACCCAATGGTATCCATGGAATTGACAAATCCACCTTCAGTTTCAGTTCCTGATACACCTCATTTGAACCATAGACAAAAGTGAATTTAGTGGAGACTGCCCCTTGGAGTAGACCATGAATGTAGAAACCATTACTCTCCAATACTGTGAACCTCAACTCCTATTTACAGAAAACCCATATTCTACCAACACCAACAGAGGAGTAAGTATCCTTATACTTCCATCCTGGAAAATGACTATCAATAATCTTTTGCACCTTATCTTCAAGTACTCGAGTCTTTAAAATGGCTATCAGATCCGCCTTATACTGCTTAATTACTTCTACTATACTATCTTGTTTAGCAGGGCTGTTAAAGCCTCGCATGTTCCATACTAGAACATTCATCACTTGTTGAGATTTTGCCCCTCTGGGGCCAACCAGACTTTCCCTTACCTTTCTTTTGTTGACCATCATTCCCTAATTCAAGGAAGTGAACAGGATCCTTCAGTGGGGAGACCACAATTCCACCTACCTCAAACTGCTCCAAAGACTCAAGCACCGAACTACTAGCCAAACCCCCACTAGAACCAGAACCCACCATTGCCTGCTGGAAATCATGCTCCGATGGGAGACCACAACCCTGCCATTCACCACGAATAGTACCAACTGAGAGCTAGAGAGGTGACTAGATTCCCTATGACCCTCTGAAGACCAGCCTCTACCAAGGTTGGGGCCACGGGAGAAACTTGCACTGATTGACTAGGCTCTTAAGGTGGTTTGTCTACTTGAGCGTCTTCCACTGACTCAGGCTGCTCAACCCGCACAGACTGCACAACTTGCTCGACCTGCACAGCCTACTCAACCTGCTCAACCTCTAACTAAACTTCCTACTCTGGCAATGCACAATTATGACCTAACTGGTGATACTTCTCACAGATATTCGGTTGGTTACGCAGGACGTCGATCAGGGGCAACCCTCATAGCCTCAGGGAAAACAGAATCAACTCCCATCTCAACACAAACCCTCGGGTACCCCAACCGAATATCTAACCTACTTGACTTGTCAAACCAGAGAGGCCTCCCTATCATACTTGCTAGGCGAGTCAGTATCCTCCAAGTGACATGTTCAAGAGGTAGGTCAAGAAGACGTACCCAGATAGGAATCGTGGATCGCGACTGCCCTGCTCGGATGCCTGGTTCCCATTTCCTCAAGTAGCACATATCATTCTTCAGATACCATGGCCCGCTCGAGAAAACCCAATGAGCAGTTTCTACGGTAGGAAACTGGAATAAAAGCAACCTATCACCCAGCCACGAAACCCTAATCCGACCTTTTTTCCCCACAATCGATCTGCCCAAGCCTGGACCTGACGGATATGAGGACTGGAGGAAAGAAACTAGCCGAGCAAACACTGTTTCCATCGCACAATGTCATCGTCTTCCAGCTCGGCAGAGATGCGGAGTCCGCCATAAAAAATCTCAAATCCCACGTACACCAATTGATTCTCCTCGGCAATCCTAAAGAGATCCACTCAGGATCTCCCCGGCGAATCAGAGTCAGAGGCCATTAATCCCTAGCACCAGTTGAAAGAGCCATGGCGGCAGGGACGAAACCCGCCCAGTCGGAGCAGAAAAACCGTTTCAAACCTCTAACTAGGGATGGAAATGGGCCGGGTTAGGGGCGGGTTTGCCTAACCATCCCCATCCCGCTTTCAAATATCTATACCCATACCTGCCCCATACCCATGCGGGGGAAGGTTTTGCAAACCCATACCCATGGGTTTCAGGTACCCATGGGCCATGGGTAATACCCGCGCCGTACATCCAGCATTATAATATTTTCAATTATAACATTAAACGCACCTACTATATCATGAAGTCGACAAAAATCATTACCCATCTCATACCCATCAAACTTTTTGCAGGTTTTACCCATACCCGGTCACCCGCCCCACACCCGGTCAATGCGAGGATTACCCGCGTTGACAGGGACGGTCGTAGGGGTGGGCATTAGGTTTGATTTTACCGAACCGAACCAAACCAAATAAAAACCGACCAAAACCGAAATAATTGTAATTAGGTTTGAAATTCGGAAGTAAATAGGGTAAATTTTGGAACTCAAGTTCGTTTGAACCGAACCGAAATTTCGAAAAACCGACCGAATTCCGAAAATACAACCCACCTGCCCGAATCCCAGCCCATTACTCGCGGCCCAGCCTTCTTTTTTCAGCCCACTCCGCCCTAGTCCAACAAATTGGATTGGGCTTCTGATTGGTGGTCTGGGCCTGCTTCCTGCTGTCGTCTGCTACGTCTGGTCAATGGGGGCCTCTTGAATAGGGATGGCAATCAAACCCATGGCCGCTGGTATCCGACCGCCCCCGACCCAGTCAACGCGGGGAATCCCCGCATTGACAGGGTATGGGGCGGGTATGGGTAAAACCCGCAAAAAGTTTGATGGGTATGGGGCGGGTATGGGTTTGGCCTCCCCCGACCCATACCCATACCCATACCCGCCCCACGAAAAACATTTCTTCACATATAAAATATACATTAATTAAATTATAATATATCATTAATAGCAAGGATAACTCATGAAAATAAATAGTAGAAATACAATTGAGTGACAACCCAAATCAAAACATAATTCATTTCCTCCAAATCTTCCTTCATTCTTTGACTTTTTCCCTCATGTTTACAACATTATGTTAGTAAGTTATTTATTACTTAATAGATGTACCAAAGTCAGAGAATAATGATTTGGCTTGTATTGTTACTCAATCTTATGGATTATTGGATGTTTTAGAATAAGATGCTTAGAATAGTATTAAGAATGATTGTTTCTTTGTCGACTTTATGAAATAGTAGATGCGTTTAGTATTATAATTGAAATTTTTGTATGTAAAATTTTAGCTATTATAATATAGGATGTACGGGGCGGGTATTACCCATGGGTACCCAAAACCCACGGGTATGGGGATGGGTTTGCAAATCCTTCCCCCGCATGGGGTAATGGGGCGGGTATGGGTTTGGATATTTGAAAGCGGGGATGGGGATGGTTTAGGCAAACCCGCCCCATTGCCATCCCTACTCTTGAAGTCTTCAACAAATCGACCGTCTCACTCTCTGCCGCCTGCGAGACTGCGACTCCTAACCCTAGACGAGATCGCAAAGGGAAAGCCGGAAAGGGAAACTACGAAGCAGCTGAGGCAGCGACTGCCGACTGCGACTCCATCTCGTCCGACCTCCACCACCTCCCGAGCCCGGCGACGCCGACGGCCCGACCCTGAGAAGCAGCTTCGTCTCCCTCTCGACGCGATCCTCACCCTCCACGAGCACCCTCCGGCCCAGACCCATTGGTCTCCGCCTCTCAGGCTCCCACAATCCCACCCAGACCGAGGCAAGCACCTGCCAGCCGTCGAGTCTCCTCTTGCGCATTGAATCTTCTGCCGACTCCGACTGTCATCACTCGGCACTCGCCTCCTTTACTCCGACACTCCAACTCCTAAGGCAGCAGGCAAAAGTTTCCTGTTACAGCGAACCAAACCAGAAGGCAGCAAGCAAAAATTTGGCAGCAGCTATGAATTTTGGTTCTGGACAATTAAACTGAACTAAGCTGTATTTCGGTCCTGCCGAGCCAAATCGAAGTATAGCTCTGTTCGAATTCGATTGGGGTGCAGGGGAAATCGGAAATTCGACATATCCTAATTCGATTCGATTTAAACCAAACCAACCGAACAGCCACACATAGACGGTCGGATACCTGTGAGCATGATTTGATTGCCATCCCTACCTCTAACTTTCTAGGGAGAGAACAGCTCAAATGAAACTTACGCTTGAGAAGAACGAATTAAAGATCCTTTTAAACAAATCTAATCAATTTGTCCCTCAATGAGCAAACAAACCAAAAGGTACATCTGTCATATGGATTACAATAGTTGGCGCTAACAGTCGAAAATCAAAAGGTAAAGCCAAAAATACAAGAAACTTCAGAATCCAATTTACTCCATGTACTGTTGCAACGGCGGCAAGCATTCAAACGGCGATGGCTCATGAAGTCACCTAGTTCGTCTTCCCCTTTGGTACTAGCCTACTAGCTGAGACATACACAACGCTATGCAGCAGATGATCACAAAAAATAAAAGTCAATTGAAGATATATGGAAAGCTATCACATTCCAGAGAAAAAAAACGGAATTTGGCCGATTTTCCAGACCCTTGAGAAATTATAAGAATCTGCAGCATCTGTTATATTCGGCAGAAATTCACTTTGCGAAGGTTTTTCTAACAAAGTTAGAGTGGGCCTCAATCCAAAAGAGAGTTTCTTGCCCCCCTGCTGGGGACCTTCGCATTATTTACCCAAATCAATGCAAAACGCATAACACATAACAAACAAAGAAAGCCAGTTTAAAACTCACTCTACGAACTATGAATCCACCAACTTGAAATCACGGATAAATAACAAATCAAGTCTCAGATTGATCCGATGTTCGCATAGAACTCTACGAAGGCAAACTTGGATGTAAGTGCATTTTGTTACTACAATGGCAACTCCATCCATAGGTCCCTCGATCCTTCTCTGCTTACCCTAGAGACAAACATTTTATTTCTAAAATAAATCAAGTAGATGCTCAGTGAATATGAATAAGAATTCATCTCATTCTACAAAGCAAGCGTTTTGCCACCTCGCAGTCGATGAACTTTGAAGGTAATATATAATCATCATAGCAACTACATATTACTGATCAGAAAAACTTGGGAACAATTATAACATTTCGAAAGAGAATCAAAGCTTCTACAGTATTTTAAGTACAGTCTTTAAAATTTATGACTCAAGAAGATGCTCAGTGAATACGAACCAAAACTTGTTTCATAATTGCAAAGGCAGCAGCAAAGCCACCTCGCTATCAATGGAATTTGAAGCTTAATAATCATCATAGCATCCGCATACTAACTAACACGAATCATTTGAAATTATTTTGACATAGTTGAGTAGGGAACGAAATCTAGTGCTGTGATTTAACTCCTATCTCGTGGGTTGAGCAAGAGACGAAGCTGATGACAACACTACACTCTGCGAGTTTTTTCAGACTCTGAAGCCATTGAAAATTGACCAACAGGGTATAGTTAAACTCAATACATTAACAAAATGGAAGAAAGAAAACACGATAAAGAAACAGGGACAAATAGCCTTTGAGAAAATGCTGTTTGCTTCAGTTAAATCCGTTAATATCCAAGTAATGTAGCTTACACCATGTAGGTTCTCCCTGATAAACAGGGGCATGGCTCCACTACAACTCACAAAATTGGATTAGATCGTCATCAGCAATCTCCAATACAAAGCTTTTGAAGAAAAATCATGAAGGGAATGAACACCCTCAGATAAACCCGTCAATATCCCTGTTATGTAGCTTACACCAAGTAGGTTCTCCCTGCGAACAGGGGCTTGGCTCCACTACACCTCAAAAGAGTGGGTTGGATCATCATTGGATGCTACACTAAGCCCTCGTCAATGTTGACAAATTATAGCTTCAAAACAAGTTATTTAACAAATTTAATACAAAAAAACTATTCCCCAATATCAAATAAGTTTTGAGATTTGAATCTAGATTATCAATGGCTCAGAAAGATTTCAGCTTTCTCGATCACAGAATATCAGAAGCAGAACTGGCGTTGAAGCTGTTTAAGTCTCATCACAGCCAATAAAACCAAATAGCTTACAATATTTTAGATAAAACCCACGATCAAAAGAAAACATTGAACTAGAAAATTCACCAAAAGACTAGGCTCATATTAAGAAATTCAACCATAGTTTTCCATTTGCTTCATCGATTCCTCTCAGAAGCGCGGATAATTGTCAAATCATCGCCGTCTACAGAAGTAAACAAACCATTTTCCCAACAATCACCACAGCCTACACATCTAAGCAAACCATTTCCCAACAATCACCACTGCTCACACATCTAAGCAAATCAAGAACAAGAACAGCAAAAGAAAGCAATCGAAGGTAGATCAAGTTATAGCGGATGTCCTTAGAGGTAGAACTAAGAATCAAGATTAACCCCCACGTTAACACCGCCATAGAAATCAATTTCTGCCTCTATGACTAGCTCAATTTCCAATCTCATAAAATTTAGAAAACCGGCTAAAGGTGAAGAGGCACGAACACATAACAGAAGGAAAAGAAGAATTCAATAAGATTGGTGTAATTTTGGAGAGATGTATCCGTCGATTTGACACAGAAGAAGCCACAAGAGAAAAAGGTACAGAGGCTACACTGCAACACTTGACGGCGAACTGCTCTGGCACGAGCAATGGGGCTTTCACCGTCACTGGGGCGTAGTGCTCCTAAGCGAAGCCCGGGGTTGCATCATGCGAAACTGTCATAGACGCTCGAACAACACGACCTACGGAGAAGCTGGTTATCAAAACTACGGCGGAAACGGGAGACGATGCTTTGAAATTGAGAGTAGAAACTGCGGTTGTAGATTGCGATTGGAGCTCCCAGTATTTTATAGCCTCGCCTCCGTGTTTTCCAACCCTAGTAAAACCCTAGTTCCCGAGAACGGAGGCATCGCCAGCGGTGGATCGTTCACTTTGAAGAATTCTTGACTGGGCCAAGGAAGAGTATATTGGGTTCAGATCAGAATACTAATGGCCTGGGCGAAGGCTGAGAGAAGAAGCACGATGATTAATAATATCAATGCAGGCCCAATACCTACTTCGCGGGTCCAGTTTACTCTTATTGTCCATCCAGACTTATTGGTACTGTTTCAACTCGGATTGAACTTAGGTGTGGGTGGGTGCAGCTTAGGCGTTGGTTGGTTCGAGACGAGATTCATGTGGTTTAGTTGTGTTTTGATTGTGTTTTGCTTTCTGGTTGGAACTCCGGTTGCCTTGGGCTCCTCCTCTACTTACCCCTCAAAACGCGCTGATCACCTGGCAGCTATCTGTAAGTTTGTAAGTTGTAACCAACCAGAAACTGATATTTGCTTCTTTGTGTTTCGTGCAGGCATTTTGGGATAGCATGCGCCGCCTAGGGAACTGTGGGGGGAGATGACTGGTGCCTCTTTTCTTACCACATATCCGTATCCCACTTTTTTCCCGGCCACATCAACTACACAGACTGACGAGAGGGGTCACGTCCAATGCCCTTTGAGATATATATATATATATATATATATAGAGAGAGAGAGAGAGAGAGAGAGAGAGAGAGAGATTGAAGTTAAGAGATTTGCGTTCTCCTCTCCTACTTTCGCTCCACTCATTTTTCTATTTCCACTCTATTTTCTCTCAATTTCCCCTCTGGTGTCTCTTATATTTTCTTTTTGGGAGATGAGCAGAATTGGAGTGATCGACTTGTGGGTTTTAGACGCCTGGAAAAGTTTCAGAGAAATGTTACGGTACAAGAATTCAAGCTAAATTGATCGTCCCAAACCCACAAGTATACCCGTCGATCACCATCATTCATAGTCCACTGTGTTGGTTAATTGTATAAATCAGTGTCAATTGGGCTTATTTAGTAGTTTAGTTATTATTATCATTGTTTAGGTAGGAAGTGTTGCAGTCGTGGGTCATTGTTTGTCAAAGTAGGATAAAGAAAAGTGTAGCTTATTGGCCAAGCAACGTGGCTGAGTATTAGGTTTATGAGTCTATAAATATGTACTTCAGCATTAGTTTGTATTATGGTTGATCAATGGAAAACAGTTTATCTTTGCATATTTGTTATTCGTTTAGTAGTTCGTAGATAGGAGTACCAGTAACGTAAATTGGGGTTGTTCTTGCCATTAAGGAGAGCCTCTACTCGAGAGTGTTGAGAAACATATCCGAAGTTCGCGTGCGTAGGTTTCAACCAAGAAATCTACGCAACAATTGGTATCGGAGCCTGGTTCCGTGCACACCGGAATCCAGGTTACATAACTTCATCATCACACGTTGTCTCATTATGTTCCACCAGCAGCTACATCCCTATTACTCGCAGCCAACATATTCACCATACGAGTATCAAGATCCATACTACGTTCCATTGAATCCTTCGCTACCATATGATTACTCCTACGCCATGAATCAACGATTCTATCAATATCATCAAGAATGGGGACTTCATCAAAATTGGAATGGCTACTACTACTCAGCTTCCGACGGCACAGAAGAAGGTTCTACCGTTGTTTCGCCTGAGTTCAAGAAGCATATTAGGGCGGCGTTCTTACCCTACAATTTTGATCGTGAACTATACCAGCGGTTTTAGAATCTTCGCCAGGGCCCTCGTACCGTCGAGGAATACTCTACTGAATTCTACTCCCTACTAACACGTGTGGATTCCAACGAGTCTCCTCTTCAGCTGGTGTCTCGATACATTGGTGGTTTGCGCCTCCAACTTTAGGACGTGCTAAATGTGTTTGACCCGATAAGTGTGGCCGAGGCACACCAGCGGGGATCCCAGGCTGAGAAACAGCTCGCCCGGTGAAATCCACCCGCCTTCAGACAACCGGTGAGCACCCCTAGCGGCTCCGCTCCAGCCTCGCACCCTCCACGGGTGGCAACTACCCCTCCACCATTCCTCAACTCTGCGGGCAACCAACCAGGCCGTATGGGCGGACTTCGTTGTTTTAACTGCGAGGATGTCGCAACCCAAAGTCTAACACTCGGGGACTTTTCACAGAGGCGGAGGAGGCTAGGCAAGAGGACCTTCGCGACCCTCCCAATCTACGACGATGGTGATTCAGAGGAGCATGTTGTGGGAGACGTTGGCCCTCTACTAGTGCTGCATCGCTCGTGCATAACCTCGCGTCTACCGGACACTGAGTGGTTTCACTCAATGTCACCATCGGAGGCAAGGTGTGTTCTTTCATCATCGACGCGGGCAGTTGCGAGAATGTGATCTCAGAGGTAGTGGTGTCTAGACTGGGGCTCGCAACTAAACCACACCCCTAGTCATATCGTCTCTCCTGGCTTAGCCAGGGTATTGATGTTACCGTCTACAAACGTGTATTTGTCAGCTTTTCTGTCGGTTCTACATACTGCGATACTGTCTACTGTAATGTGGTCCCTATGGACGCATGCCATCTACTTCTCGGTCGACCATGGAAATATGATAACTCAGTTTATCATGACAGACGTGCCAACACGTATAACTTCCTCTTCCGGGGCACTAAAATCGTTCTCATGCCTACTAAGCCCAAGGCGACAGCTGTCTCTCCAACACCCGCTTCTTCCCCCACAACCCTTTTGTCTAGAGGAACGTTTCAAGCTGACATGGAGGAATCGGGGATGGTCTTCCTTGTCTTTTGTTCGCTGTGGCAAGGAGACGCGGCCTCCTCTATACCCGATCGCGTGCGGCCACTTTTACAGGAGTTTTCTGACATATTTCCTGAAGTCCTGCCTAATGATTTACCTCCATTACGTGATATACAACATCATATTGACCTCGTCCCAGGTTTCGTCCTTCCCAATCGCCCTCATTACCGTAGGAGCCCCCAGGAGCATGAAGAGCTCCTTAGACAGGTCAAGGAACTTCTCGCCAAGGGCCATGTGCGCGAGAGTCTTAGCCCCTGTACTGTCCCAGCTCTTTTAACACCCAAGAAAGATGGGTTGTGGCGTATGTGTGTTGATAGTCGAGCCATCAACAAGATTACTGTACGTTATCGTTTTCCTATTCCCCGATTGGACGACTTGCTGGATCAACTAGGAGGCGCTACTGTCTTTAGCAAGTTTGACCATAAAAGCGGCTATCATCAAATTCGTATTTGCATGGGTGACGAGTGGAAGACTACCTTCAAGACTAGGGAAGGCTTATTTGAATGGCTGGTTATGCCCTTCGACTTGTCCAACGCCCCCGGTACGTTCATGCGGGTGATGAACCAGGTACTTCGGCCGTTTATTGGACATTGCATGGTCGTCAATTTTGACGATATCTTGAATTATAGTGACAATGAGCCGGTCCATCTCGACCACCTGTGGGACATGATGTTGGTTCTCCGCCAGGAAGTTCTACACGGCGACGGCCAAATGTGCTTTCCTTTCTCCATCGATCCAATTCCTTGGTTATGTGGTCTCGCAAGATTGCCTTCACATTGATCCGAGTAAGGTTTGGGCAATAGAGAAATGGCCTCGTCCATCGTCCATTACCGAGGTACACAGCTTCCACGGGTAGCTTCTTTTTAACGTCGTTTCATCCATCAATTCAGCGGGGTCATGGCGCCCCTCACAGACTGCATACAGGGTTTGAAGTTCTCATGTACCTCCGACGCGGAGGCTGCCTTTCTGGAAATCAAGGCTCGACTTGTCTCTGCCCCCATCTTGGTACTTCCTGATTTCACCCAACCTTTTGAACTCCATTGTGATGCATCGAAGACCGGTATCTGGGCTGTCCTTAGTCAATCCAGCCGCCCCGTTGCTTACTTCAGTGCGAAGTTGTCTGGTGCCAAACTTCGCTTTAGCACGTACGACGTCAAATTCTACGCGGTTGTGCAAGCCATTAAGCATTGGCGCCATTATTTGTTCCACCGTGAATTCGTCCTCTACACCGACCATGATTCTCTCAAACACCTGGGCAGCCAAGACCAGATTTCTCATCGACATGCTTCATGGATTTCGTACCTGCATCAATTCACTTTTGTGATCAAACACAAGGCTGGATTTTCTAATCGTGTGGCAGACGAAATAAGCCGGTGAAGTGGGCTACTGACAGAGATGCGCGTACAGGTGCCCGAATTTGACTCGTTCATGGCTCTTTATGTTGATGACCCTTATTTTTTGCAGATTTTGGATCGTCCTCAGCGCGGTGACTCGACCGATTTTGTGTTGGACGACGGGTTCCTCTTTCATGGGGTTCAACTCTGCATCCCTTCTTGTAGCTTGCGCCTGAAAATGATTCAAGAACTCTACAATGAAGGTCATGTGGGCCGAGATCGCACATTCTAGCTTCTTTTAGCTTCTTACTTTTGGCCCTCGATGCACAAGGAGGTCGGTTGGTTTGTGGCCCGCTGTCGGAGGTGTCAGTTGGCAAAAGGTACTGCAACTAATGTCGGGTTATATCGGCCCGTGCCTATTCCTACCCAGCCTTAGTCCGATGTGAGTATGGACTTCGTCCTCGGTCTCCCTCGTACCCAACGTGGGTCTGACTCCATTTTTGTGGTCGTGGTGGATCGTTTTATACCCTGCAAGAAGACATCGGATGCGATCGATGTTGCCCAGCTCTATTTTCGGGACGTCTACCTTCTTCATTGTCTTCCTGCGTCCATCGTCTCGGATCGCGATACACGCTTTGTGAGTCACTTCTGGCGCAGTTTATGGCGTATGGTTAATACACAACTGAAATTTAGCAGTGCTAATCATCCGCAGACCGACGGGAAAACGAAGGTTGTTAATTGTTCTTTGGGGAATCTCTTACTCAGTTTGGTAGGCGATCATCCTAAAGCTTGGGATCATAAGCTCCCTCAAGTGGAGTTTGCTCATAACCACGAGGTCAATCGCTCGACAGGCTTCCCGCCGTTTCGCGTTGTATATGGGTTGTCCCCGCGAGGGCCTCTTGATTTGCTCGCCCTTCCCAGCAAGGTCCAGCCTCACGCTACGGCTGCCGATTTTGTGAGTCAGCTAGCCCAGATTCATACCGCTACCCATGACCGCCTGGTGGCCTCCATTCCGGCGTACAAGACTAGTGTCGAACAGCGCCGCTGCGCTGTGGAGTTCGACGTTGGTGACTTTGTTTGGGCTATCCTCACCAAGGATCGTTTTCCTGCCCATGAGTATAGCAAGCTTGCAGCGAAGAAGATTGGCCCTGTCTAGATTGTGGAGAAGATTAATTTGAATGCGTATCGCCTGTGCCTTCCGAGCCATGTTCGTACGTCTGATGTTTTTAATGTGAAACACCTTGTTCTTGTCATGGCGGATTCATCTTTGGACGAGGAAGCCGTGGATTTCGCGGCCGAATCTTTTCTACCCCAGGGGAAAATGATGCGGAACACTGCAACGTGCGGCCTTAGTGATGGGCTTCATGAGCATTTTGATTATTTTGTTTGTTTAAAGACCTTGACAGTAATTTTCTTTCCTAGTTTTAGTCGGATTAGGTTTTCATTGTCTTAGCTATATATATCGGCTCTCTTAGTCCTTTATTAGGCAGTTTTTGATATTGAATAAAAGAACAAAAGAGGGTTTCCTCGAAAAGTCGACTCTCGGCTGTTCTCTTGAATCAACGAGTTTTGATTTACCCTCCTTCCTCCCACGTACGCTGCATAAAAAATAATAAAGTTTGAGCTAATAATACCATAACCTGTTGTCCCATAATAAACCACTACCCATATCTGCAATTATCATAAGACCTTAAATGGATGAGCATAATAACAAAATCCACTGCCCATAAGCGACTGTCCCCATAATAAAAAAAAATCCCACCAAATCATCATTCAACCAATCGATGAGAATGGACGAGCAGTTAAGCTAGAAATCAGATTGATGCTATCTAGTCATACAATATGTATGTTAAGTCTTTCAGAATCATATTTGAGCTAATTGAATAAATCCTAATGGGTAATACGGGTACCCATACTACCCAAACGGGTATTAGCGGGTAACCCGTGAGTACCCGATATTGAAATTCATAATCCCAAGTCCCATCCCGCAATGAATATAACGGGTATTTGGGTACCCGTAATCCTCAAAAAATGGGACGGGTTTGGGTATATTGAAATACCCGTTTCTCGTTGCCCACCCCTACACTAACCCCACTAAATACCCTCTAACTCACGCCACGATCCTACCTCTAACAACCCATAATTAAATTATTACTTTTATTATTTAAATGCGCATAACAAAGAGATTCATTTTTTCCTCGGATTTCTCTAGGGATGACAACAAAACCCGAACCCACTAGTACCCTACCCGCCCCAAATCGGTCAACATGGGTAAAACTCGTGTTGACGAGTTTTGGTCCGTGTTCGGGTTTAAACCCGTTCACTATTCATTGGGTTTGGGTTTAGGTATACCCGCCCCATGGGTACCCGCCCACACCCATATAATTAATTTTCCTGGTATGTTTAGTATTCTAAGCTACTAATATTCTTTATATTTGTGGAGACATATCTAATTTTTTCTTTTTAATTGTGTAGAATGAAGTTGATATCATCGAGTGGAGAGTGAAGAAGCTTAATTGACAATGAGGAAGAAGTTTTCAATTAATCATTTTGTTTATGGATAATTTGTGATTTGCTTCAATTTTCTTGAATTTTCTAGATTGGCGTTGAACAATTTGTATGGTTAATTTGTGATTTTGCTTGAATTTTCTATAATGGTGTTTTATATATGGATAATTTGTATTGAGAGATTGATATTTGACTTTTATTTTGATAGGAACTTGTTATTGTAAAATTTTTACGACAAAAACTCATGGGTACCCATGAACCCGCAAATACCCAGCGAGTTGGGTTGTGTTTGAGTTTTCAAACCTATTGAGTTTTACCCCGAGTTTTTTTCACGGATAAACCCACGGGTTTGCGTTTGGCAAAACCCGACCCCACCCGACCCATTGCCATCCCTCTCTCGAAGACCAGGTGACTTTTGTGGTAGCTTCGTTGGTTTTCTTTGTGACACCGGAATCTGGATTTATGTCTATTTTCTTTTCATTCCAAATTCAGGTATCCGAGCTGCAGCCATTTCTGGAGAGAGGTGGGACACAATCTCATGAACTGGAGGGTTTTGGGTTGGCATATTGATTTCTGAAGTTTTAATTGTGTGCTTTGGACTTTTTTGCCCATTTCTGGAAAATTAATTATGAGTTTGCATTTCTCTGAGGGACCCAAATGGGAATTGGATTGATAATCAGGAAGACCTCAAGGCCTTAGTGATGCATTTCTATGAAAACTTGTACACCCAGGAAGATGGAGTCTATGAGGATCTGATGCCTAGAGGCAGGTTTCCGCGTCTGCAGCAAGCTGATCTCCTCAGGCTGCTTCATTCTTTTCGTATCTCAGACTATCATATGGCCATCTTTGGGATGAAGCCTATGTCGGCTCCTGGGCCGGACGAGTATCAGGCTATTTTCTACCAGAAGTTTTGGCCTCTTGTGGGAAAGAATCTGACTGAGCTGGCTACTCACTTTTTTGAATCAGGAAATCTCCCGGATGAGGTTTTCGAATCCACGTTGGTTCTTATCCCGAAGGTTGATCATCCTGAAACCCCTGGTCAGTTCAGACCCATCAGTCTAAATAATGTGGTGTTGAAGGCCATTACCAAATCCATAGCTAACAGACTCAAACCTCTTATGCCAAAGCTAGTAGCTCCGACCCAGAGTGGTTTTATCAAGGGAAGGCAAACGAATGACAACATCTTATTGCTTCAAGAGATCCTTCATTCGCCGAGGAAAAGGAAAGGACCAAGGGAGGTCTGGTTATTAAGATTGATCTAGAGAAGGCTTATGATCGCCTTCACTGGGGATTTCTTCGGGACACTCTGGGAGAGATAAGCCTCCCTAGTTCTTGGATAAGCAGGATTATAACGTGTGTGGAGAGGAACAAAATACGGATCAACTGGAATGGCGAGCTGACCTCGGTGTTCAATCCTACTAGGGGCGTCAGACAGGGAGATCCCTTATCCCCTTTTCTCTTTGTTTTATGTATGGAAAGATTAGCTCATCGTATTGAACAAGCTGTAGAGGAGAAACTTTGGAAACCACTCTCTCTCACCAAGGGTGGCCCAAAGCTATCTCATCTCTTTTTTGCTGACGACCTGATTTTGTTTGCTGAAGCTGAAGGTGGTCAGATTGAAGTGATTCGATCGTGCTTGGAGGATTTCTGCTCAAGTTCGGGACAGAGAGTGAACTTGCACAAGTAAGCTATGTTTGTGTCCCCTAATATCCAGAGAGACAGAGCGCAGAGGCTCAGTGCAAGGGCTGGGATTACTCTTACCAGTGATCTGGGCAGATATCTGGGACTAAAAGCTATTAATGGCAGGATCACTCAGGCCAGAAACCAGGAACTGGTGCTGAAAATTCAACAGAAATTGGCTTCATGGAAAGCAAATCATCTGTCAATTGCTGGACGGATTACCTTGGTGAAATCTATAGCGTCTTCCATGGCAGTTTACCCCATGTTTACCGAAAGATTACCTAATTCTATTTGTAAATCTCTTGACAGGATCAATCGGCAATTCGTGTGGGGAGAGGAGGACGGCAAGACGAAGTTTCACCCAATTGCTTGGGACCAGATGACCTTGCCAAGACAACGAGGGGGCGTGGAGATAAGGCCAACATGACTTGCGAATCAAGCTATGCTGGCCAAAGGAGCCTGTAGCCTGGTGAAGGAGGATAAAAAGCTGTGGGCTCGAGCTATGAGGAGCAAGTACGAGAGGGATAGAAAGGGGATTCACGTGCTTAGTAAAATAAAGGGAAGTTCCTTTGCCTGGAACAGTTTCTCCCAAACTGTGAACCTTTTGAAAAAAGGGATTGCTTACAAAGTTAAAAATGGGCAAGGCACTAAGTTCTGGTCTGATGTATGGATTATGCAGGAACCACTGGTGGAGCTGACAACGACTGAGGTCCCTTTGGAGTACAGAGACAAAAGGGTGGCTGACTACTGGGATGCAAATACAGGGTGGAATTTTCAGGAGATTCAGCCGTACCTCCCGCCAGAAATCATTGATAAAATGCGGGCTGTTTGGCTGGATCCTATGACTAGCGACGAAGATACTCTTTTTTGGAGAAATACTCCCAATGACAGGTTCAGTGTTAGCTCGGCCTATCAGACCATGACGCCAGATCAAGCAAGCCAGGATCGCATCGACTGGAGGAAGATTTGGAGACTCCATTGCCCAGAAAGAGTCCGTTTCTTTATTTGGCTCGCCGCTAAAGGGAAGCTGTCTACTAACAATGTTCGAAAGTTTCGTCACCTCACTACTGATGATACGTGCCAGCTTTGCAAAGAAGCAGTTGAGACCAATATTCACTGCTTGAGAGACTGCACAGCCACGTAGATGATTTGGGAAAAGCTGCTCCCTGTCCAGGCTCATCAGAGCTTCTTCGCTACAGATCCGGTGAGTTGATTTGAAATGAACCTGGAGAAGAAACTGGGGGTGGATATCAAGGAGGACTGGCCGAGCCTCTTTGCCTTAACGTGCTGGTATGTTTGGAAGTATAGAAACGAATTTATTTTTCAGGGGAAAAAGATGGCTTTTGCCTCCTCTTCTTCAAAAAAAAAAAATAAATAAATAAAAAATTATGAGTTTGCATAATGCCATTGCTTTTTTCGCCTCAGGGCATTCATTCAAACCCTCGGTAATCCCATGACGGTGAGCTATTTTGAGCGGCTTCTTAGTGTAGGGATTGTCTATGTCAATAGAGGGTTAAATTTTACCGACCTATCAGAAATATGTTGGTGGTGATGATGTTACCGACCTTTAAATTATGGGATCACCGAGGGTTTGAATGAATGCCCTGAGGACACTAATACCTTCGTGGGTTTCATTTTATTTCAATGGTTCTTGGGACACTAATTCTTCCACTTTTGCAGGCTCAAGTTGTAGTTGGAACAACTAAATTAATGGTGGCACTGGGAAGCAAGGGCAGTGGTTTGATGATGTGTTTACCTGGGGTGATGCATCTTGGAATACGTTCAGTATGATTGTCTTCTGGAGATATATTGATTGCCAACCAGAAATACACTAACAGCCTGTTTGGAAAGTAACAAATTTTAAGAAATGGAATTCCATTTTCTAAAATCAAATGAATTCTCATATTTGGAACACTCTTCAGCCTGTTTGGAAATGCTAAATTTTGAGGAAATGGAATTCCAATTATCAAACTTTTCATGATTCTCATGTTTGGAAGTAAAAAATAAAAAGGAAATGGAATTCCAAAAGGTAAAAAGTTGGAAATTCTAAATCCTATCAAAAGTGGTCGGAATTGGTGGAGGGAGTGACGGAATTAGTGGACCCCATATTAATTTTGACTCACCTTTACAATAAAGCCCTTACTACTTTTGGATTTGAAATCATTAATACCAAGGATATTATTGTAAAAGCACTTGTAAGAAAATAAAAAAGATGAAATCATTTCCCAAACTTTTGGATTTGTTTCAAACATAAACTCTTGAAATGAATTCCCACTTGAATTCATATTCTCACAAGAAATAGAATTCATTTTCTAGCAGAATTATATCCAAACAAGTTGTTTTTTTTTTATGAAAAATGGAAATCATTTCCTACAAAATTGTGCAAATACATTTCCGATCAAAACTGGTCGGAATTGGTTTATATTTCATTGGAATTTGTGGGGCCCATTGCTACTTTAACAAGTAATCTCCATTCTAGCCTTGTATTCCTCTGCATTACACTTATTAATTAAGTTATTTTTTGCTTTTGTCAATCTCCTCCCCACACGTTGCATAACGATTTAGACTTTGGATTTCATGATTTTTTTTTCCCAGATCTAGAAGCTATGGGCGCTTCATCACTCATTTCTTTGGAAATTTTGTTTTGCATCAATCTCTTTCCATTTGTTATGTGGTTATATTAATAGATTACAGGGACACAATAGTAAAAGTATTTATAAGAATTCATTTCATATTCTTCCAACACATAAACAAGATATGATTTCCCAAACTTTAGGATTTATCCCAAACAAAAATTATGAAAAGGAATTCGTACATGAATTCTAATTCTCATAGGAAATGGAATTCTATTCCTATAGGAACTAGCGTGGCCCCGGCCATTTGGCCGGAGTAAGGTGAGGTATGAAATTTGATAATATAATGTGGTGTATAGCTTATTGTTGTATAGTTTTTTTTTGGAAACACGTGATAAAAATACTGAATTTTAGTAGGAAAGAGACATGAATGATGCAACGAATCAAAAATCAGCCTTATGAACCAAAATCAAGTATCTGTTACCTTGTGAAACAATATTGTTTCTGGTAATAAGATAAGGTGGAGTAAGTTTTATAGAAACCGAATTCCAGAAAATCAAATAAAAAATCGCCTATCCCACTGGTTCTTGGGAAATGAGCATCTCGCAATCGTTGCTAGCTTTTACTCGGCCCGTTGGCCGATTAATTTGCTTTATAAAACTTTCATCTTGCCATCATTGTGCTTTCTGGTTTTTTGCCAACCCATGATAAAATCTAAAGAAATCAAGAATGAACAACACGATTTGGGATAGGAACCACCGTTCCTGTATCCCTAGAAAATGGTGGTAAACACAGACTCACCTGCCAAACTGGTTTGGATTGAGATTTTTATCGGGTATCAGGGAACCATGTGATTATAAATTAGACTTGATCAAAAAGGGCCAAAACTTGAAATTCGGCATGTTTGACCGACCCATGCCAAACTCTAATTATTCTTTACTTTTAAACTTTCTATTTGAAAATAAAAAATAATGAAAGAAAAGAGATGACTGCAATTCGCCATTTGCACATCACTGATTCGGGAATAAAACTATAAAATTTTGAAAGGAAACTGAAAATGTTTAGGATCGTTTTAATTTAAAAAATAACCAAATAGATCTTTATGTTTAGTTTTTTACTAACAAATACCAAATGATTGCCTATAATATACACTATAATTTAATCATTATGATATCAAATAATTACATAATATATATTTGAAATAATGAAAATAGGACTAATTGGGTTGGTCGAGGTTGAACCATTGGATAACTTTAAAATATATTATATTTTAGCCACTAAGATATAAAATAATAGCATAATATATATTATGCTAGAGAAAATATCTTGTTTTGGAATGACAAACCCATGATGTTCATTTGTTTTACTTGATGGGCAAATCCCGTGTAGGTCAGGCTCATTCAACTATTTTATTTTATGATTAGCGCTTAGCCCATTAGAATCCATGCATTAATTTATTGTTATTTTTTTTCTTTTTAGCAATAAAAAGAGTATTGTTTTTGCCTTTTCATATATATTGTTTTTTCCTCTCTGCAATTATATGTTTTTAATTTAAAAAGATACAACAAATGTACTTAGTGTGATTGGTTGTGATCTTTGCTTTTCTTTAAAGTGGTCATGGTTTGAATCCTAGTAAGTGTTTTTTTAATGAATAAAAAAAAGTAATTGTGAAGACCAAAATGTCCTTCCTACTTTCACTCTGGATGCAGGAAATTTGAAATGGGGCTTCAAGTTTTCTCATTTGGCTTTTATTTATTGGATAGATTGATTCCAAACAGGCTGTAAAGGGTAGGGTTGAGTTTGGGTCAAGATACACCGTACACGAGTCTTGATTCTGTTGTCTAATTTGTATAAACTTTGATAGGTATAATTTATCACTCCCCAACAGTTTCAGTGTTCTTGACTCAATCATCTACACATGTTGAGATGGCGGAAATGACCCATGGTTGCAGCTGTTGTTTTCTGGTTGACTGCTGATGGAATTAGTGGCTTTGATGAATGCATCATCTCTTTGTAGTAACCAAAAAATACTTTATTGTAGTAGCCAAAAGCTGGAAATATACAAGTGTGATCAAGACTCATAAATTTCTTAATAAAACCTCAATTGGATATATATAATCATCAATGTATTGAAAAATGGTTCATACAACTGCTCCTAACATGCAAAACTAAGATTCTTCATACCCAAGTGGTAGAGTGGATTACTTCATAGAGAGAGAGGGAGGAAAGTCATGCCGGATGTAGAAATCATCGTGTAGACGGAAGAAATCTGCTCTAGGTCGTCAATCGTCACTCCTCGAGGCTTGAATCGAGCTCCAATAATGGGAAATTTTTTTTATCTACGACACTCAAGGGTCTTTGTTCGTCACTTTCTCTCTCTCTAAACCTCTGTTTTCTGCTCCAAAACTTTAATGAGAGACCAAAATCGTGTTCTCCTTGTAACAGCCTGAGCTAGGCATACCCGGTTCAAATACCCGGTCAGGTATTTGAGGATCAGACCTGGTTTTATCGAAGCAGTGTGCATCGCCTTATCGGTGTAGGGGGAATACCTAGTCGATTAGAGAAATACCAGGTCGGGTATTTATGGCTCACAACCACCTATGCCACACGACTCCATTCAATCCAACGAGTCATGGTAGCTAGTTAGGGGGAAGCAACTCCCGAATGAAGCTCCCTTAGTTAGGATTTTCCTTCATTTACTTTTCTTTGCTTGTTTAGTTTGTAGTTTCATTATCTCTAAACCCAAAAGTTGTTTGCTAGATAACAACCTAAGCGATTGAAGTAAGGGTACATGGATCGGCCCGGGTTGACAATTTAAATACTTGCTCTATACTGCACCCGACTAGAGTTTAAAAACTTGGGCTCTAGTCGGGATCAATTTGTGGTGTAGTTTCATGCGAGTCAAAATGTTACCCAACCTTTGGCAGTGGTCGCACTGTCGTGCGAAGGTATCAGCATTCTTAAAGAGCGAGGGCAGTAGATGCCTCCCATCTCGTGCTCCATGACACCCCTCCGTATCACACCATCTGCTTTGATCCTTAAGAGGTAAGGATCCTCCCATACATAATGCTTCAAATCGGAGAAGAACTTGCAATTGGCGTGAGTAGTCATCCCATTAGGCAACTGTTTTCCCACCATATAATTGGCAAAGTCAGAATACCAAAGGGTGACGCTCTCCACCAAGCACAACGCCAGGAATCGCTCACCCGGGAAGAAGTCATTGACCTCTTCCACGAAGTTGTCCACCGAAGAGGCTTCCAACCGTGAAAGATGATATGCAGCAACATTTTTGGCTCCCTTCTTATCCCGGATCTCAATGTCAAATTCCTGCAGAAGCAGGATTCAACAGATTAGCCTTGGCTCAACGTCAACCTTGCTTATCAGGTAGTGGATAACAGAGTGATCTGTGTAGACCACCATATGAGAGAGCACCAGGTAGGGTCGGAACTTGTCAAAGGCATATACCACGATGAGCAGCTCCTTCTCAGTGGTGGTGTAGTTTTCCTGGGCATCGTTCAAAGTCTTCGGCGCGTAATAGATTAGCTGAATATTTTTGTCGTGGCTATGAACTAGAACAACTCTGACTGCATAATCACTTGCATCACACATAAGCTCGAATGAAAGAGACCAATCAAGAGTTACCATGATGGGTCGATGGGCAAGCTTCTCCTTTAAGGTCTCGAATGCAGCTGTGTATTTTGTAGTGAAATAAAAGGGTGCATCCTTCTCTAGCAGCTTGGTCAAAGGCAATGCGATCTTGGAGTAATCTTTAATAAATCTCCTGTAGAAGCCTGCATGACCTAGAAAGCTGCAGATCCCCTTCACAGAAATGGGAGGAGAAAAATTTCTTGATTTTCTCAATCTTCGCATGATCTACCTCAATGCCCTGCTTGGAGATCTTGTGCCCTAGCACAATCCCTTCTCGAACCATGAAATAGCACTTATCCCAGCTGAGTGTCAAGTTTGTCTCCTCGCACCTCTTTTGGACAAGTTCCAAGTTATGGAGACAATGAGTGAAGGAGTCTCCATGAACCAAGAAGTCATCCATGAAGACTTCCATGATCTCTCCAACCAGTCAGTCGAATATCGTCATCATACCCTGCTGGAAGGTCGCCGGTGCATTACACAGCCCATATGGAATCCATTGGTGTGCAAAAGTACCAAAGGGACAAGTGAAGGTGGTCTTTGCGTGATCCTCTTATGTGATCAGAATATGGAAGTACCCAAACATGTCATCCAGGAAGTAGTAGAACTCATGTCCCGCCAACCTCTCCAGTATTTGATCAATAAAAGTAAGCGGGAAATGGTCCTTTCTGGTGGCGTCATTCAGGCGCCTGTAGTTGATGTAGACATGCCAGCCAATCACAGTATGCATCGAGATCAGCTGATTCTTCTCATTCCGGACCAGAGTCATCTTGCCTTTCTTTGGGACCACTTGAGTGGGACTAACACACTTGCTATCAGATATAGCAAAGATGATCCCCGCATCCATCAGTTTCACAATCTCTGCCCAAACCACTACCTCCAAGTTAAGAGTCAACCTCCGCTGCGGTTTCCTGACAGGCTTAACCTCATCCTCCATAAGAATTTTGTGGGAGCATAAGGATGGGCTAATGTATCTGATGTTAATGATCTTCCATGCCATGGCCAGGGCTTACTTCTGCAACAGAGCCACAAGACTGCTCTTTTGTTCGGGGATCAGTTCCAAGCTGATAATGACTGGGAGCTTATTCCCCTCCCCGAAAAATGCATATTCCAGGTGAGAGAGGAGGGGCTAAACCTCCAGCTCTGGTGGATCCTCCAAGGATGTGGCTATCTAGGGTAAGATAGAGATTGACTTGAACGACTAATTTTTCCCCTCGATCGCATCACCCTTTAGCTCTGCTAGCTGCTCCTCCAACTGCATCTTGTGTGATGCTTGCTCCCCTAGCAAAAGACAACGCTCGAGGAAATCACTAGTACCCACACTCGTGATGGCGAGTGCGGTCTCAAAATCGGCAACCACATCGTAGTAATCTAAATCATCATGGAGCTGGGGGTGTTTCATGTTATCAGAAACATATTTGTTCACCCCAGCCCTCAAAATCACTTTACCATCATTAACATCAATAAGAGCCTTAGCAGTGGCGAGAAAATGTCTACCCAGAATTAAAGGCACATCCACATCCTCATTAATATCAAGAATAACAAAATCAACAAGATATGAGAATGACCCTACTACTACTATCAAGTCCTCTGCAATATCACTAAGATGCACAATAAATTGATCGCCCAATTGAATGCTCATCCTAGTAGTATTGGGTTCAACTAAGCATAGCCTCTAACAGTTTATATGGCATAACGTTTATGCTAGCGCCTAGATCCACCAAGGAATTTCCTACAAGCAAGCTACCTATCAAGCAAGGGATAGTAAAAATCCCTGGGTCTTTTCGTGTAACACCCTACCATGTACGTTTTTCCTAATCATATTGTTCATACAATTGTAGCGGAATTTAAAACTGGTGTTACATTAATTACCAAAATTTACCCAAATAAAATTTTGACATGAATTACTCGCATAATGGGTTAACAATTCTTGCAACTTATCCTACAAAATAATTCATCCGAATCCCTGCATTCTTAGACATACATATATACTCACAACCATATACATTGGCTTTCATAGCCATAGTCATAGTTTCAAACTCCACAACTGCATACCTTACTAATACATGCCATAGTCGTCACAACTTATACAACCACACAAATATACACATATCAACTTTCCACACCTGTGGATATCTCACACTACATCATAAGCTAGTATGCGCATGAAAAATGTTGTCAAAACATTTTTACCAAAAAGGTGTGGATCACTGGCCAAAATCCCGAGTAGTAGTCCAAGCACAGAATAGTTGAAGACCTATACCCCTATCTACTGCTGCTGATGATTTGCTTCCATATGGCATAAGCAGAGAAAAAGGATAAAGAGGGTCAGCTCATGGATGAGTGAGACAATCATTGCATCGTGAGTTCATAACAAAGCATACCCCTACCATACATCTAGCAATCAAGCCAAAACACTAGGATCAGACCTCAACCATCCTCATATCCCAATGGGCGAAAGACTCAACCACCTTGACTTATGCATGTGCGTCTTATCGTGTTTTACTTATAGGCGCCTGGCTACTCCCATGCTAATAACTCTCCCGGGAAACATACCCCACATCCCGTCGGATGTGGTCATACATACCCCACACCACTATGGGTGTAGCCATACCCCGACACCTCTCTGGTGTGGTCATATCTCGTGAGAAATCTTCAGTCAGCACCACATGAGAGGTGTGACTATCATACATATCATAATAGAGTAATAACATAGGGAGCCTTAATTTCTAGGTAATTGACCATGAGACCAAAATACTCTTACTTGGTATCCTTATACACGATTAATATCTCATCTTGTTTAATCATAATTCGTTACTTGCACATGTACTTGACCCGACCATAATTGGCTCAACATAGGTAACACATGAGTTGTATAATTGCACTTCCTCGGGATGAACCCTCGTGCAAGTCATCCTCCTTAAACATCATAATATCACCATGGGATATATACTTTCCCACTAGTGCATTCAAATACATCAATCATGAAAAATCATACCCAATCACCTTCTCGAACCATCATAAGGCATATCAACAGTCAAGCCCACAATTGCAACATATGCGCAATCATCAGCCTAAACAAGGTCCATATCGCTTAGTTCACCATATAGCACAAAAGTTCATACACCCCTAATCATGTCATTCTAGTTCACCTATGTGAGTTCTAAGCATCAATATAATTATCGTGATATGACAAACCCGGTATGCCGTGCTAATCCCTCACGTTCTGGCCGTTCAAACACCTGTTTTAGCTTCTCGTACTAAAACGTCAATTTCACAAACGTACCCGAAATCAAAATCTGAGACCATCCTAATTTCCCCTGCAGTCTCCCCGCCAATGTTTGTTCTAGGCTCCGGGTCAAATTCTCGTTAAAAACACATCAAACCCTGGCCGGAGCTTAATTCAACGATTCTGGCTCCGACCTAAATAATCGCTGAAATTCATGGATTAAGATCAGAGGATTAATTACCTCACTGCAGGAAGCTCGTATATGAAATCTGGGCTCAATCCGGCTTCCGGATACTCCAAACCCTAAATTGGCTTATCGGGAATTGAAGAAATTCCTGAATCAAAAACTCGTTTTAAAGCTCTAAATCGATAAATTACGATGTATGGATGAATTAGGCGTTAATTACGGGATTTTTGGATCACTAGATCTCGTGATTTGAGCTTTGAAATTTTCCACAAACGCTTCCCTGTGCGCGCTCTTCTTCTCCGTTTTCTCTCGACCCAGAAATGGAAAAAGAGGAAATGGATGGGGGATTAAAATTGACCGGGTGAATTATATATATGTGACCGCCTGTTATATATATATATACATGCATATATATTTATATATAATTAATACATATACTTATTCGATCGATCAATATCTCGATTTTCGTCGAAAAACTATCAAAATTCTCATTTTTAAATCGTGAAATTTTCTAGCGATCGTAATACGAGTTTTGCCGGAACGGGATGTTACATTTCGCTTCTCCTGTAGCTTGTTCTGCAGGATGTTAGAACACTCCTCGTTGAGCATCACAGTTGACAGCTCCGCAAGCTTTCTCTTATTGGTGAGGAGATCCTTCATGAACTTAGTGTACTTGGGCATTTTCGACAGTGCCTCCATGAAAGGCATACTGATGTTCACCTGTTAAGCATTGCCATGAACTTGGCAAACTCACTCTCTATTTAGTCTTTGTGCAACCGAGTAGGAAAGGGAAGTTGAGGAACATACTCCTTCACCACTAGTTATGGCTTGGGAGGAGGCAACTCAACCTCCTTCTCCATTTCTTCCTCATTGGCTAGAGGTGCTGAAACAAGTCTTGCTTTCCCTTATCTGGCTTGAAGAGGGATCTCGCAGTTACCTTGCCACTCCTAGTGGTAATGACGCTCAAGTGGGCATTTGGAACTGCAGGATTGGGGATAGTATGTACTAGTAAAGTACTCGGAGCCCTCTGTGCTACAGCTTTAGCCACACTACCAAGCTGGGTCTGTATATCCTGCAGAACCGCCTGAGTGTTTTTCTGTCTAACTTCCAACTTAAGAAACTTGTCTGAATCATTTTCCATGAACTACTCGATGTTGATGAATTTCTGTGATCTGGAATCGGCAAGAGAACCCACTATGTCTCGCAGCTTAGCCATCAGATCACGCAATATTAGGTCTACTGGAGATGCATCCGGCTGTTGAAAATTCCGCGACTGTTGCTGAGAAAGAGCTAGCCTCTGTCGAGCCGGATAGAGAGGCTATTGCTGCTGGAATTGGCCCTGGCAGCCCTAGTATGTCGGCCTCTGAAAACCTGGTGGTCCCTAAGAGACTAGTGGCTTAGGATTACTATCACCGTCCCAAGAGAAGTTAGGATGCTGGCACCCCCCTCGTTATAACTGTTGTTGTAGGGTTCAAAGTGCCTAGCATTGCCAATGAGGTCTAGCTGCTCTTCAGGTGTAGTAGATTCCCTCATTGCCTAACATTCTTCTACTGTGTGGTGGTTGCTCTCACACCACTGGCAATACATCGTCTATTGCTGCCCTGTACTGGGAATCATCCTATTTTGATCAATTGTCGTTACCAGCTTATTGACCACACTCACCAGATAAGAAGAGTGGGTATCCATGGCATGCACGCCACGGCCTGGTGCTCGCCGAGATCTCTGAACAGACATCCAATCATAACCCTGCTCAGCCATATCTTCAAAGAGCTGGTTCAACTGTTGTGGCGTCTTAGTCAACATGTTTCCTCCATAAACCGAGTCGATCAACTGCTTATCTTCTAGAAAGAGAGAATGATAGAAGGTACCCACTTTGAAGGCATTATTAAAATAATGGTTGGGACACTTCAGGAAGAGAACTTTGTATCTCTCACAAGCGTCCCAAATAGTCTCTTCCTCCTCTTGGGAAAAATGGGTAATTTCCTTCTGCAGGTCCGCTATTTTAGAAGGAGGATGATAGCGGGTCAGGAATTTTTTGGCCAAGTCGGTGAATGGTGATTGACCCTGGAGGCTGGTTGCTCAGCCACAACTTGGTATTTTCCTCCAAAGTAAATGGAATTAATGCAATTGGATGGCATCTTGATGGACCCCATTGTTCTTGATCCCATTAATCAGCTCGTGAAATAGCCGCAGGTGCGCGCGGGGACACTCGCTTGTCTTCCCATGGAAAACAACTGAACCTCTCAACATTGTGATAAAGGAGGTGCTCACCTCAAAGTTGTTGGCAGCAACTTGAGGGTGTTGGATACTGGACCTCATGTCTGTGGCCCTGGCGGTCCAGTAGCATCCCATGGTATGCTCCTCAGGGACAAGAGCTTCGGAAGCATTGGGGTCACCCATTTCTTCATCACTCTTAGATCCGTCAGCGAAAACGACCTTATCCTAGTCCTCATCTGTAGCCATTCTCAGTTTGAGCGCTCTGGACTGGGACTAGTCCGTTCGAAATCTGGGTCCAGATTTCGCAGTTCTCCCGAATGGCTACGACTCATGCACTACCTGTGCACAAACTGCAAACAAAACCCTTGAAGGCGAACAGGTTGAGGAACACAAATGCAAAAAATTAAATGCTAAAGTAACAGATCTTCACGTTTCTACAATAACCTAGAAGGTCCCCGACAACGATGCCAAAAACTTGACTCGCTAAAATACAACACCAAACTTCTACCAAGTGTAATTGTAGAATGAAAATGCACTATAGTGGGGCACATTACCTAGCTTGGAATCTCTTAAACTGACCAAGCCCTCTTAGACACGTTACTTGGCAGGCGATTAACCTTCACCTAGATAAAGTGCTAAGGCAATAAAAACATATCTTCTCTACTGGAATGAATCCCAGTACAAAGCAATGAATTGATTGACTCTCCCATAATCGATTCACCACTTCCAAATCAGGATGCTCTATTGACATATTCAGATTCTATCATTCTAGGTCAAAGCTGGAAACGTACAAGTGTGATAAAGACTCATAGATTTCTGAATAAAACCTCAATTGGAGATATAATTAAAAAGGGTTCATACAACTACTCCTAACATGCAAAACTAGAGTTTTTCATACCCAAGTGGTAGAGGATATTACTCTATAGAGAGAGTGAGAGAGAGTGAGGAAAGCCATGTTGGATGTAGAAATCATCGTGTAGACGGAAGAAATCTGCTCCGGGTCATCAATCGTTACTCCTCGAGGCTTGAATCGAGCTCCAATGGTGGGAAAAATTTGATATAGGGCACTCAAGGGTATTTGTTCGTCAATTTCTCTCTCTAAACCTCTGTTTTCTTCTCCAAAACTTGCATGAGAGAACCAAAGCCGTGTTCTGCTTCTACCAGCCTGAACTGGGCACACCCGGTCCAAATACTCGGTCGGGTATTTGAGGATCAGACCGGGTTTTATCGAAACGGTGTGCATCGCCTTCTCGGTGCAGGGGAAATACCTAGTCGATTAAAGAAATACTCGATCGGGTATTTATGGCTCACGACCGGGGGGTCTCCTGGGTTCTCCTTGTTGGTTTACCCGATCTCACATCAAAATACCCGGTCGGGTATTTGGGTGGCCTGGCCGGGTATTTTGCCTCCCAGCTCCTCTTTTCACCATCTCTCTGCTTTTGACCCGAAACTCACTTCCAAGCCTCCATTTCCAGTCCAGGTACTGAAATACGACATAAAAGCACAACCTAACGTGAAATTGGCTTAAAACACGAGAAATGAATCTCAAACGGTACAAGAATTGTGGACAAAACATGTAAAAATATCAGGTTATTATTGACAACATTAAATCTCTTTCTAATTTATGTTCCTATTCTCCTTCTTCCCTCTGTTTGCTCTTGAACTTTTGAATTTTCACTACTTACAGCCTGTTTATGTTAATCAGGCAATAGGATCAGTTTGTTAATAGAAGTTCAGTTATTTAAACCCCTCAAGCGCGACCTCATGTTTCTGCTAATTTATGGTTTAAGTTGTGTTGGTATGAATTGAATCGGATTATCTGCCGACAACTGAAAATCACGAGAGTTTTGTCCAATGGCAATGCCCGGGTCAACAGGCTCGGGGGAGAGATTCTTCTCCCGATGGAGGTCCCATGATCCACTGTGTATGAGCTTATACACAATGTGGTACTTGGATTATACCCTAACAATCATCCACTAATCAAATGATTTTTACCGTTAAAGTAACGGTCAACACTCGACTCAGGCCAAATAAATAAATTGTTGTGATAGTTTTAAACCACGATGTTATATGGTGAAAAGATAGACAAGATGTTAAAGAACAACAAAGTTTGGAACAGACAAAAATATTACTCAAAGAAAAACATACTCAGCATAACAAATTTATCCCAAACCTGGAGTTTATGGATGATGGAGTGTAATTGTACTATCAATTTTCAATCATTCTCGAAGGTTCACCTTTGCATTTTATCATACATCTAAATCCCTTTCCTCTACCGCCATTCTTATTTGTTCACATTCTTATTCTTCTATTTGCTGGGGTTTCAGCGTTCGTTTATTTGGTATATTTACAAAATGAGTTATTTGTTCAAATACATACATTTGAAAATAAATATATATTTTTTATAGAAAAATAAATATATTTGATAATGTAGACATTTTCAAATTAGCTATTTGTTCCGAAGTTTTTAGATGAGTAATTTTCAATAGGTCAACCAAGAAATAAAAAAAAACATTTTTTTCGGTAATTAAAAAAACATTATGCAACCAACATATAACATGGTTTTGGACATTACCCACATATAATACGACTTTCCAATTTTGAATAATAATATTATTTCAACTTAAAAAAAAAGTATAACGGTTCCAGTATAAATTATTTTAAAACCAAACATAACATATATTTAAAATCATCTCCAAAAATAGTAATAACTATTTTAATAGAAAATATTTGAACATTATTTAAAAATAATTGAAAAGTATTTTGGATTATGAAGACAAAATAGAGAAGGGTTATTATTGGGTTTATGAAAAGGACAATGTTAATGTAACACCACAATTTTTGAGGTTCAGGTTCGACCAGTAATAAGTGAATGGGTCGGACAAGGTTTGGTTATAGTAACACCTGTTACTGATTGGGTTTTAAACTTAAAACTAATTCCTCTTATTTAATCCGAATTAAGCCAAATTAATTTTAAGTTAACCTAACCCTAAGTTGCGCTCCTCGTCATGTGGGTATATCCTCCAAATACTACATGCGCGTTCCCCGTCAAAGCACACACCATTATATAATTGCTAGCTTATGCGCAACTTAAGGAAGGACTATCTGGTGAATTGGACCTTCTTTTCCCTGCAGTGCAATCCCGATCCGGTCTGTTCGCTTGCTCTTCCACCAAACTAAAAGCTTCCTTCCACCAAATATAAAATTATTTAAGTTATTAATTATTTGTCAAGAATTATACACTTTCAGGTTAAGATTTGTATATATTAATTGAGGTTAAATGTCATGTTTGGTCATTATATTTATCATTTAGTTTCACATTTATCACTAGAAAGTTCAATTGAAATAGTGGTCAAACTCTCATAAATCACTAGCTGTCCATTTTTATTAAATTTATCATACATGGTAGTAAACTTCCTTTTTTTTTGTTATTTTAAATGAATGACATAACACTAAATTAAAAAGAAATTAATTCCAAGTTCCAGCTCATTTCTACTTCGGCAGCTTCATAGCTGAACAATGATAACCTCCACCTCACCCACAACATCGCCAGACATCGCCATTAGGAATGACAATGGATCAGGTTAGGGATTGGTAATGCATAACCATTATCCTACCCGAAATAATTTGGGGTTTTCCGTACAAGAATCGTGTATAAAATCAAAGTCATGCTCATACCTAATCGGTTTCAGGTCACATGTATACTGACATTTTTTTTGAAAGATGTATAAATGACTAGAATAGAAGTGACATGATATAAGTGAAAAAGTGCGATAATAAATGACTAGAATGAAGTAAATTAGTTATAAGCAATAAAATTTCGTGACAGATATTATATATGTTGCTACATATTTAATATGTTGAGAAAAACAATAACCATTTCTTGACAAAATACATAGACATTTGCATGATCGGGTGGGTTCGATTTGGACAGTGAGAAAATCGTGCCCAACCATTACCCATAATATTCGAGTTCGAGTATTACCATAACTACAATTTTTTTTAGTTTGGATTTTACCCTACCCCAATTAAGTCGGATTCGGGTGGATAAAAATGGCATATTCAACTTTTTAGTGTATTTCCACTCAATTTTGAATGGGACTGAAGTGAATATTTAACTTTTAACATTCTTTTATTGGTAAATTATATATTTGTCACATTCTTTTATTTCTTCTTAGTATATTACTAAGGCGACAAAAATATTTAACTTTCACTTTTAGTAAGCGAACGAACATACCCTAATCTAGAACCCATCCACGAAAACTTAAAGAACACTTCTTTTGTCTGAATTGACTTGCAACATCAAACACTATAGTTATTAGGTGATAATCACCTCTTCACTCTCATTCTTCATATGTAGTCAATTCAAGAATCATCCTCACTAAAGATTATATTGCTCTTCTAAATAATGAATCTAAATTATTAGCATTCTTCATATTTAGGATCCAACTCGAATAGTGGATATTTCTCAATCAATCACTAACATTTTATTTTTCTTACAAACAAGAATTTGATCCCAGTGATAATATCATTGGTCTTGAATATGAAAATCACAAGTTCAAAACCCTTAAATAGTACGTAACTAAAAAAAAAAGCTCTATCAGCCTTATAAAAAATTGCTAACACTTTTCATATTTAGATTATAACTCCTCTCCCTCATGTCCTATTAAATGAAGGAATGAAGTATTTAAAAAAAAGAAGTTGGATTTCCACATCAAATTTAGTAATTACATTACAAATATAACTAAATTAACAATTTCAAACGCAATCAATGATGAAAATAAAAAGAAGAATCTTCAAAAAAAATTGTGACTAGAATGAGGTAAATTCTTTTGTGGTGAAAGTTATATTTCATATATGATTATCTTTTATTTTAAAATTTGCTTCCCTACAAATATGAAAAAAAGAAGCACATATCAATAATGAATACAGTGGAGTTGATGCTGAAATTTGAACTTCGAAACTTTGAAATTTTAATTATTACTGACATCATATTACAACAGGTCCAACGGGCCAGGGTACAATCTAGTGCATATATATAAACTTAAGTATAACTAGGGGTAGCAAGCATAAGGTCCTTGGTAGTCCCTCAATTCAGGGTGGCTAGCCGAAAGGAGGAAAGGGAACGCCATTGGTGACAGTTGAAGCGCGCGTGGATCTCGAGAGGGGCTAGCAGCGGCCAG